TTCTCTGGTACCAGATTTCTGTCTTACTTTTCTCTCATTGATGAGTCAAAATATCCAACACCCAGAGTTAAAGGGGGAAAGGTTTATGTGGCTTACAGTTTATAGAGGTTTCAGTTCATAATCAGCTGGGTCCAAGGCAGGGTGGCAGAGAGGCAACTGTTCATGGTGGACAGAGAGTTGCAAAGCAACAAGAGAGCTTCATGGCATCTTTCTGTTATACATTGCATGTGAATCTACTCATTTAAACAGACTTTTTGTGAGGGGGAACAAAGTTTATTCCAGTGAACAGACTAAAATCAGGGACTCGAGGGCTGGAGATACAGTTCAACATTGCCAAGCAAGCACAGGGTCCTGAGTTCGATTCCTAGTTCCAGAAAAGAAAAAAGAAAAACTGGGAACTAAAATCAGAGAGATTCCTGAGTCTATCACATCTGTGTGTGGATGGGTTGACATTGGGAGAGAAAAATAGCAGCTAGCTGGAAGAGATTTCATCCGTGAGTGCATGGGCTAACACCAGGAGAGAGCTATGAGTAACTACCTGGGAAAGGAATTAGGTTTATATAGGTATTGAAGGGCCTAAGGAATCGGGGTTGAGATGTTTAAGATCAAGCCCAAGGACAGTCAGCAGAGGTGTGTAAAACAATCACTGGACTTCTGGACTTCTCAGTACCTGCCAAGGAGATTGTCTTGTGTTTACTGAGAAATAGCTCATGGGCTAGGGATTTAGCTCAGTGGCACTGTGCCTGCCTTGCAAGGACAAGGTCTTGAGTTTGATCCCCAGTACCACCAAAAAAAAAAAAAAAAAAAAAAAAAAGAGAAATAGCCCATCATTTCCTGAAAGTGGCCTGTTTACTTTTGTCCTGTTTGTGAAGGACTCACTTAGGTCAGGCATGACACTTTCTGCCCCTTTTATCCCATCCAGAGCACCAGAATTAGGGCAGTGCCAAGCCAGTCACTGTGTGGTTTAGTAATCACATGCCCATAATCCCAGCCTCACACCCTAGATTCAGCCTCACCTTCCCATTGCAGAAGCTTTGGAAGGGCACAAGCCATAAGACTGTCTCTGTAAATTTGCCTGATTTAGATTTTCACATAAGTGGAATAAAATAACATTTGTTCTTTTATGCCTGGCTTATTTCACTTAATGTTTCTTGGGGGGGGGGTTGTTTTTGTTTTGTTGTTGTTTTGAGACAGAGTCTCACTGTATAGTTGAGACTGACCTGGAACTCACTATGTAGCCCAGGCTGGTCTCAACTCACAGTGATCCTCTGATCCTCCTGTCTCAGCCTCCTGAGTGCTGGGATTACAGGCGTGTACCACCACGCCGGGCTCACTTAATGTTTTCAAAGTCCATCCTGTGGTGATTTATGACCGGTTCATTCCTTTTTATGGCTAAATAATATTCCATTTTGTGTTTATGTCATATTTTATCTACTCACCAGTTGAAGGACTTGGGTTTTTCCCATCTTTGGACAATAATTCTGCAATGAATACTGATGTATGATAGATAATCTGTGATCCTTGTTTTTAATTCTTTTTTGGTTTATACTTAAAAGTGGAATTATCCTGTTTAGTTTTGTAAGGAGACATTGAACTGTTTTCCATAGTAGCTGTGCTTACATTCCCACCAGCAGTGTACAGGTGTCACCACTTCGCCACATCTCACCAACACTTGTTAGTATGTGTGTGTTGTGACAGCCATTCCAGTAGGAGTGAAATGGTATTTCCCTGTGGTTTTGATTTGTGTTTCTTTAGTGACTGATGATCATTAATGAGCATCTTTTCATGTACTTATTGGCCATTCGTGTATCTTTGGAAAAGTATATATATATATATATATATGTATTCAATCCCTTTGCACAATTTTTAGTTGAGGTGTCTTTTCGTCGTTGAGTGCAGGAGTTCCCTATATTTTGTACAACTTATTTTTACGTTGTAGATATCAAACCCTTACCAGATATATCACAGATATTTTTCCCGTTTTTGAGTTGCTATTTCACCTGGCTCAGAGTACAGGCCCAGATCGTCCGAGGGCTACCCGCTGGCTGGCTGTTGCCAAAATGGCCTCTCACTGCGCGAGAACCAGCTGGGTCTGTCCCTGCCCTGGGCCTTTGCATGGCTCTTCCCTCTGTCAGAGCTCTTCCGCCCCAATACATCGAAATTGTCTCTCTGCTGGTGCCACAGCTTTCTTGATACCAGGGGAGGGTCCCTGTGTCTGGAGCCCCCAAACTACACAGCCTCAGGCCTGTCTGAGGCCCCTTGGGCCCAGCCTCAAAGTTCAAGGGAAGAGGGCTAGGAGTGTGGCCTAATGGAAAGCACTTTCTGGCACCTGTGAGGCCCTGGGTTCCATCTCCAGCTCTGGAAAAAGAAAATGAGGGGAGTGTCCTCAAGACAAGTGTCCAGCCCCTTTGTGCCAAGCGAATCCAGGAGGCCCCCAGAGGCAGTCTTAGCACAAAAGGGAGCACCCCTTCCTGTCTGAGTGAGGTCCCGAGCCCTGGCCACATAACAGAACTGGATGCACAGACCAGGATCCAAAGCTGAACCGGAGGCAGAGGCCAGAGGAAGCTTCGCCACCAGCTATATCCAGACTCCACACAGCCCTCAGGCTCCAGGGAGCAGCGCCAGCATGTGCTGCCTGAGACAGGCACTGTGGTTTGGGTCCAAATGGTGCCCAAGCCTATGTTCCAAAGGGTCGGTCCTGGCAGGGCCTCAGGAGGTGACTGGGACACCAGCCGCCACCTCAGCCGAGGGTCAGCCCTTGGGCAGGTTTGTGCTGTAGTCTTGTGGGAAGCGGTGGAAACTGCAGTGCAGGGGACGGGGGCTGGGGAGGAAGAGGTCATCCAGGGTCCCCTGGAAGGTGTTCTTGTCCCAGGCTCTCTGCTTCCTCTCACCAAGAGGGGCCAGCTTCACTCCACCAGCCCAGACGCTGTGCAGCTGGGGGAGCCAAAACTCACCTTTCCCTTATAAGTTGATTTTCCCTGGTATTTTGTCAGAGACAAAGCTGGCTGACAGGCACGGACATCTCCAGGAGCTTGTCCCAGCCCAACCATCACGGGCCTGTGCAGGGTCACACAGCAGCCAGGCTCTCCCTGAGCCTGGTGGCAGCCCCGAGGCCACCAACAGCTGAGCCTGGAGGATGGGACCCTGATGGCCCTGCCCCATCAGACACTCCCAGGAACGAGCCCTCCACCTCTGCTGCCCCTAAAGCCCTGCTTTCTGAAGCCACACCCGGCACACCAAGTCCTGGCAGGTGGTTGTGCAAAAGTGACAGTGACAGAGCATTCAGGGAGGAGCCCAGGCTGGGTCCCCTGCCAGGCAGGGAGAGAAGCAGCAGCCCAGGCACAGGTGGCATCGGCAGCTGTACCATGGAGAACATTGCAGGGCTCAGAGATGATACCCACAGAAGAGGGGCAGGGAGATGTTGAGCCTGTGGATGGAAAGGAAAACAGAAAAGGGGCAGCATGAGTGGTGGCTGCAGCCAGAACCCCCAGATAGGCTCAGCCTTGGGGTCTGGTGTCTTCCTGTCCCCCGGGGCAGCCAGTGTCAGGAGACAGAGCCACAGGGTGAGAGGCAGCTCCTCTGCTCAGGAGTGGGAACGTGGGGCCACAGACAGATGGCCAGATGAGGGCCGGACAGAAACTTGGAGCTGGAGAGACGGGCAGAGGAAGAAGCTGTTGAGGATAAACAAGGATGGGGGTGCCCTAGAGAAGGGAAGAGCAGAGGGTTGGGGAGATGTGAGCTGAGGAGCAGGGGTCAGGGTCCCTGAAGAGCCCCCACCTCCTGAATGTCCCGGGGCCCAGCTGGCTCTGGCCCTGTGCACAAGCCTTCCCTCCTGTCACCCTGTCCCAGAGAACCCACCTAGGTCACGTCAGCCTCTTGGTCACCAGTGTTTGTTTACTGTTTGTTGAAACAGGTCCCACTGTGTGGTCCAGGCTGGCCTTGAATTCATGGCAATCCTCCCGCCTCAGCCTCATGATCGATGGGGTCTGCTCCCATGTGTTTTAAAAGTGACAGCTGGCTCCCAACCTGCAGCTCATGGCTTCTCCTCCAGGGCTGCCCACACCACACCCCAACCTGTGTCCGCCAGGAACCAGGCTCCTGGGGCTGGCTCACGGAGATCACCGGGGAGGGTTCAGAGAGCAGGAAGAGCCTCCAGCCCAGTCACTGGGGACTGGTGGAGGGGGCCTGAGCCAGGCCAAGGCCAGAGCCACCCACGCCCCCACCTTCTTGGAAAAGGGAAGGGAGACTTTCTGCACCCCCAGAACTCTAGTGCACAAGCACCTTGCATGCTCCCCGCCACCATTCAGATCTAGTTCCTAGACCTGGATTTACTTTCTCTTCCCAGACAACCCTTCCATAGAAACAGAGGCACTAACAGATTGAAGAACTTGCCCCGCTGGGGAAACTGAGGCTCAATCTGTGGCAGCTTCCCAGCATCCATGGGCCATCCCGGCAGGATGTGTTTCCCACAGAGGTGGCAGTAAAGGAGGCAAGAGGGAAAGTGGGAATCTGGGGACCTGGAGCTGCTTGGTAGGGAAAGGCCTGCAGTGTGAACACCTTGCAAGGGACAGGACCGGGGCCTGGAGATCAGGCAGGATTCCCGGGTCGACTCCAGGCTGGTGAGATGTCCAGACCTAGGGGGTGTGAGAAATTGAGCGGGCCTGAGATTGACGACACTGCCACCTCGTGGCTATGTGGTGAAACTGCATGCTGTTTCATCGGACCATTGATAACATTGCGAAGTCCCTAGATTCACGGTGAAATATTTTGATACCCAGAGTGAATCACTTCCCATGAGGTCATATTGTCTTCAGCAATAAACAGGAAACTAATGATAATGAACATAAAAGAAATGAAAGTCAAATCATTAACAAGTGAACTTTAATAAAACAACTATCTGCAAATAGTAGAATTCAGGAAGCCATTGTCACACCACTGGTGTGACTTTCCTTTATTAGTTTTAAGACAACTTAAAAAAACAATGTTTGCATTTAATAATGAGGCACTGGTATATTAAATTTTAAACACACACAACCACCAAGAGGTCATAAAGAATGACAAACCTGAAGCAGTTCTAGTTATATCTGTCTGCGGTTAGCTGTGCTCCAAGGTCTGATTGTGACTCAGGACGCCAGCTCTGTTGGGGTCCACAGACCCTCAGACAACCCCAGGGTGTCCTTAACCCCAAGGTGCACACAGTGGGGTCAGTCCCTTCCTGCGCTGGACCCCAGAACTGGGGAACTGGTAATAGGCTTCCACAAAGAACACAAAGGTCATTGAAAGATGAGTAACAGGGCCAGGGATTTAGCTCAGTGGCACCACACCTGCCTCGCAAGAGCAAGGTCCTGAGTTCGATCCCCAGTACCAAAAAAAATCTAATAACAAATGGTGAAGTCAGAATAAGGTCTGTCCTGGGTTGAACTCCTGGCTTCACAATATATCCAAATGTCCCCAAGGCTCGGGGGTTCCCTCTCTGCAGTCTCTCACCTGGGCCTTAAACTCTGCCCCCATCCCTCCCCTGTGGTCCCACAAAACAGCACAAGCTTCCAAGTCTCCTGGCTTCACACCACAAGGAAGTTTGCCTTCCCAGAATCCTCATCAAAGCTCCTTGACGGTCATTGGCTGCTGGTGTGTCACGTGCTGTCCCCTGGACCAATTGCTCTAGCCATGAGAATAAGGTGTTGGTTGGGCAGTGGGGATAGAGCCCATCTCAGTTTGGGAGGGGGCACACTCAGAAAAGCAGTGCAGGGTCTAGGCTGCCCTTCACCCCTGTTGGGTTCTGCCCTCAAACAACCCAATTTCCCATGTTGGGAAACTGAGGCAGTAAGACTTGAGGACTGTTCTGAGCGGGACTGAGCTGACACTTGGGGCAGAAGGTGACAAAGACCAGAGCTGTGACTGGGGCAAGGAAAAAAAGGAGCAGCTGAGCAGGCAGCTGGGTGACTCAGGGAAACTGCGACAGTGCACCCAGCCCGCTGGGCCCACACATTTGGCCTCAGTATCCCCGCTTTGCCCTGGAGATGCTCCCCAGGAAGAGAAGGGGTAACATCCAGCTGCATCTTTCTCACATGAGGAAAGTTGCTTTGGGGTGCTACTCAGCCACGCCTTCCCGTGACCCATCCGGTCTGCCTCACCAGAAAGAGGAGCTCGGGCAAGAGGAAAGCTGAGTTTATTCCAATGATTGAAGTCTGTACAGCCACGGACTCCAGCCTTCCCTTCAGGGCCCAGAGGGAGAGAGTCCTGAGGCAGCCCCTCTGCCCAGGACCAGTCTGCCTCAGCTCACCTGCCCCAGGCCCAAAGGACCAGGGAGCCTGGGCAGAGGACAAAGGCCAGGCTGGGATCCGAGGCTCCATGTGGCCAAGGATCAGGTGCATGAAGCCTCAGGACCCTGTGCAGACTGTGGGGAGCCCTCAGCCCTGCTCGCCAGGCTGTAGTAATAGGTCCGCATGCGCTGCTCCACCGCCTGGAAGTCAGGGCGGTCCTCCCACCTGTGGGGGCGTAGACCCAGCACTCACTACACCCAGACCCCAGCCTCAGCCCCAAGGGGGATTGCGTGGGGCTTGCAGTGACAGACTCACAGGTAAGGAACAGTGTTGGGCTGAGGGTCCTGGGATCCTGGTGTTCCTGACAGGTGGGCACTGGGAGAGCTGAGTCCCCGGATGTTGGAGTGACAACTACAAACCCTAGGAGCCAGTGCTGAGCAACGCAACACTGTATGTGGTTGGACGGGAGGTGGGATGCTGATGGTGTTGGCAATGGGGCTGAATATACCGTGTCCCTGCTCAGAGTTGACCTAGCTGAGCCCCCAGGTAGAGCGCTGGCTGGTGGAGGCCAAGGGATTAGGTACTGGGCACCGTCCCCTGCCCAGAGAAGTGGGGCGCATGCTGAGTGGCCATGTGGATCTGTCTGGGGACTGAGGGCTCCGTGTGCTGAGCGGTAGCAGGTAGGGGGCTGAGGCCGCAGGCAGGATGTGACCCCAGGGGTGTCAAAGAGGCCGCGGACAGAGCACAGACCTCTGTGTGCGGTGACACTGGGAAGAGTCACAGTGATGCTGATGGATGGGCACAAGGCCCGGGCGTGGGTCTGACAGGGTCCCCCACTGGGCACTCACTTATAGATCCAGCAGTCGCTCATGAGTGTGTACATCTCAGGTGGGCACTCGGGCGGGCACTCCATCCGCTTGCCCTGCTTGATGAACTCCAGCACCTCGGGGCCCTTCATCTTCTACTGAGCGAGAGCCAGGGCAGGGTGAGTGATGGGTGCCTGCCTGCTCCCCTCTGCCCCTGCCCCCATCCCCACCTGTCCCTGCCTGCCTGCCTTGTAGGGCTTCTGGCCATAGGAGAAGGCCTCCCACATGGTGACGCCATAGCTCCACACGTCACTGCGGCTGGAGAACTTGCGGAAGTTGATGCACTCAGGCGCATACCACTTGAGGGGCCACTTCCCTGCTGAGCGGGCCTGGGGTGGGGGAAACGCAGCTAGGACTCGGGGACTCGGGGACCCTCTGCCCACTGAGCCCACACACCCGGGCACCACAGGGGCACGAGCCCCAGCTCACGGTATAGTAGCTGTCGTCGGCACCCAAGGCCTTGGAGAGGCCGAAGTCACTGATCTTGGCATAATGCCGGTTGACCAGCAGGACATTGCGGGCCGCCAGATCTCGATGCACAAAGTTCTTCTCCTCCAGATACTTCATCCCCATGGACACCTGGTGCAGGAGCTCAGCCACATTGCTCACAGGGATCTCCTCCCTGGGAAGGACAAGGGGGGTCAGGGAGAGAGGGCAGCCCTGTTCCCAGGGGCAAAGCCCAGCCAAGCCCTGTGTAGTGCATGGCCAGACACTCTCGGGGAAGGTGTGTGTGGCCACGAGAGTGCACAGACCACCAGACGCATGCCAGAGTGTGCGAGCAGAGCACAAGGAGGCACAGGTGAACCTGCAAACATTCTCACCCAGGGCCAAAGTGTACACCTTGGAGCTTCTGCCAACCTACGGCCACTGTCACCTATTCTGCTGGTTTTGTTTCATATATAACCCTCTAAAAATACAAAACCATGCAATTCAAAAGCAAGCCAAGGCTGCTGACTACTGCCCCTGCTTTAGGTCACTGAAGTGACCGTGAACAATTTCCCACGGTCATGACTTAGCCTGGAGAACCTGGGCAGAGAGGCTGGATGGGGCTCCTGTCTGTAAAGCTCTTACCAGCTGTGCCTGATGTTTTGTACATGCTTTCCAGGCACTGACTCACAAGAGCTGCTTGGACGGGTCCTGCTGGCACTACCGAGACGCCTATGTAGACTGGAAGGGCTAGCAGCTCGCTCCAGCGGGGTGCGGGGGTCAGGTGTGGGGGATGCCCGTGGCCCCGCACCCTCCACCCAGGCTCACTTCCTTCCGACCAGGAACTTGTGCAGCGGCCCGCCGCCTGCCATCTCCATGACCAGCATGAGAGCCTCGGCCTGGCACACGCCGATGAGCCGCACGATGTAGGGGTTATCCAGCTGGTGCATGATCTGTGCCTCCCGCATCATCTCGTCCTTGTCCGCCTTCTCTGTGCTCTGCTTCAGCACCTTGATGGCCACGTCAATCTGCTTCCTGCCCAGGAGGTGGTGCCTGAGCCAGGCAGCCCTGCGCCCCTCCCTTGTCTCCGAGCTGGGCGCAGTGGTGCTCACTGCCCGATCCCCCCGCAATGACCCCACGGATGAGACCCCCAGCCAGCGCTACCCCTGCGTGTCTGCACGCCTGGGCTGTCACAGTTGCCACGCCACCCAGGTGCCCCCTGCCCAGGCCCAAGTCTACTTGCTCCCTCTCCTGTGTCCCCAGCTTTCCAGGGCCCCTCTGGCACACCCTGTCCCTCTCCAGACACCCCCCAGCTCCCACCCGCATCCCCAGACACAGGCATCCTACTTGCGCATGCGGTAGACACCCTGGCGCACTGAGCCGAAGTTGCCGCAGCCAAGTTCAATGTCAGCCACAAGCAGGTTGTCACGCTTCAGGAAAAGCTTCTTGTCCTTGAGCTCCTCGGGGTCGCTGTATGGACTCTCGTACACGCTTGTGTCCATGGGCATCGGCCGCGACTTGTCTGCGGGGGCCGGGCGTGCTGGGCACACAGGTGCACGTTAGTGTTCACAGGCGTGCGTGTCCGGGTGTATACAGGTGTATATGCTCCCAAGCGTCCACCCCATGTCAGCACCCCAGGATGTGCACATGGGCAGGCGCCTGCCTCATCCTCCTGGCCAAGCCCCGCGGTGCCCGGGGACCAGCTCTCAGAGAGGCACAAGGCCCCCACCTGCAGCCTGGCCAGCTCACCTGGTTCTGGGGTATATCCATCCGAGTTGAGGGTGTCCACCCGTCTCTGAGGCTAAAGATCACAGGGCCAAGGACAGTGAGCCAGGCTCCCAGCGCCATGCAGGGACACTTCCCCTCCACAGCGCCCCCAGCTACCAGCGGTGCACCCAGCCCCAGCACCGAGTGGCCCCAACTCACTTGGGTGAATGTGGATGGGTGGGCAGGGAGTGTGGGAGCAGCAGCCCCTGAGGGAGCAGAAGGGACAGTGAGGGCACAGGCCACCCGCCCCAGTCCCTGCCCGCCTTGCCGCATGTCCCGTGCTCACCCTCCGCGCTGGTGTTGGGGCAGGCCTCCTTCAGGCAGTAGATGAGCCCGTCGGCCTTCAGCTTCAGGTACTCCACCAGCTGCGGGAGCAGGAATCAGGCCAGACCCTGGGCACCCCGACCCCATGATCCCCCAGCATGGGTGCTGGGCCACTACCTGCCACAGCGTGTCGAACTTGGTGCCCTCGGGGATGCAGTACTTTCCAGCCTTGTCCTGGCTGACGAGGTAGTGGTACACGGTTTTCCCGTAGATCAGGGACAGTGCGTAGGTGCCCTGCTCCTTCCGGGGCCTCAGCCTGCAGGGTGAGGAGGCTGTCACCTCTGTGGCCACCTGAGAGTCCTGCTTCTCAAGGTCCCCAGGCATCCACCTTATGGGCTCCACCCCTAAGCTTCATGGAGAGCAGCAGGGACTGGAGAAGCCCGGGTCACATGTCCCTCAACCGCCACTCCTGGTGACACTGGTTACAGGTCATCGAAAGCGGAAAGGGCAACAGCCAGGTTTGTGGGGGACACATACAGCTGTCCAGGGGCAGACGTGATCCTTCACAGGGAGACACTGAAGCCCACGTGGGGACGCAGCCACTCACTCCACCTTCTTTGCCATAGGCTTAAGGGGGCCACTTGGTCCCCCATGGCTGAATGCATGGCTACCCATGACCAAACACTTGCCATCCACTAGGGGGCACTCAGTCACCCACAGGGGACAGCTGGCCATATACAGAGCCATCGACACAAGCAAAGGTCCTCTTTAAGGAGACACTCAGCCTTCCGCAAACTCTCAACCATCCCCCTGGGCACAGAAAGCTGTTTCCACTCAGACCCACCAGGGGACCCCAACTGTAACTCCTCCCAGGCCTCCTCCTGAAAGTCACCTCTGGGTAGTGCAGGATGTCTTGAAAAGGACTAGCTGGGAGAGAATGCAGCCCTTGACTGCCCTCTGCTGGACATTCATAAAAATAAATCTACGTGTAAACCTTCCACATCTGTGATAGGACTCACAGCTGGTGCATGAAGAGCCTGTCCACCCATCACCACAGACACACACACACACACACACACACACCCAAGCCAGCCAGAACCAGCCGCCAGCAGCCTCACAGGAAGCCCCATCGCAAAGCCATCAACACAGCCATTAGGCAAGTGCTCTGGGTCCAGGACCAGGTCAAATGCTCCAGGCCACACTCAGATTCCCAGTGCAGGAGGAAAACCAGCTGGTCCTGAGGTCTCAGAGCTACAGAATGTGCCAGGTCCTGACCAGGGACTATGCTGAGTGACAGGGAGCTGGCCACTGGGTCGCCCACGAGCAGAGTCCCCAACGAGTGGATCCTGCAGCCACTCAGGCAGAGCGTGATGCACACCCGTGAGCCTCTATTCATGGCAGAATATGTATGACCACAGCAAGGATATGGTGGTGAGCAAGACAGAGGGGAGCCCACCTCGCCAGCAGGGCCTTCCTTAGGGCAAAGGACAAAGGCACTGTCCCCTGTGCCACTGCAGCAGAGCTTAGAGGGGGGCAGAGGGATAGCTCTGACTATCCCATCCATTCCCAGACAACAACACAGGAAAAGACAATACAGTTCACAAAAGTCCAGGGGTACCCAGAGAGGTGGACACCATGGGGAACATCTAAAGTTGAAAGTCTAAAGAGAAAGTCTAAAGTTGCTAAGTTGCCCAGACTGGACTCAAACCTGCACCTCTCTGCCTCAGCCTTCCAGACCACTGGGTTTACAGGTTTGTACCACCATATCTAGCCATAACCTTAAGTTTTAAACAGACATCAGAAACTCAATGCTGAACTATTCACCAATAAACACATGCATACAATTGGAGAGAAGCAGCCTTAGTACTAGGCAGCTCTTGCCATCCATAATGGTGTCTCCCATCCAAGTACTAACCAGGCCCAACCCTGCCTAGCTTCCAAGATCAGGGCATTCAGAGTGGTATGGCCATAGACCACAATGGCTGAATCAGGGTTCCACCATGTGACTGGTTTTAGTACAAGGACAACATAAACAACAGCTTGGTCACTGTGGAGTCCTGCCAGGTCTCTCTCACTTTTCCTGGAAAGCCTATGACCACTGTGGAAATGAGTCCAAGCCAGCCAGCTAGAGGGGCCACATGGGGGAACTGAGGCCTGCAGACTCAGGAATGAAGCCATCTTGGGACCATCCAGTCCCACGCACCCTCCCAGTGCACTGAAGCCAAATGAGCAAGCTCACAGAACCAGCAGAAGAACCAGCCTGCTAAACTCAGCCCAGACTGCCAAGAGGGAATACATAGCTAATTTCAAAAAACATCATGTGCTAGGGTAGTTTGTTATGCAGCAAATGTGGATATGCTCTCTTTGGTTTTTTTGTTTTGCTTTGTTTTGTTTTTTGAGACAGGGTCTCACTATGTAGTTGAAACTGATCTGGAACTCACTATGCAGCCCCGGCTGGTCTCGAACTCACCGCGATCCTCCTGCCTCAGCTTCCCGCGTGCTGGGATTACAGGAAACTCAGCCCAGACTGCCAAGAGGGAATACATAGCTAATTTCAAAAAACATCATGTGCTAGGGTAGTTTGTTATGCAGCAAATGTGGATATGCTCTCTTTGGTTTTTTTGTTTTGCTTTGTTTTGTTTTTTGAGACAGGGTCTCACTATGTAGTTGAAACTGATCTGGAACTCACTATGTAGCCCAGGCTGGTCTCGAACTCACAGCGATCCTCCTGCCTCAGCTTCCCGAGTGCTGGGATTACAGGTGTGTGCCACCATGTCCAGCTGATATGCTGTCTTTGGAAAGAGGAACATGGGTTCATACAAGAGCAGTCACTAACTCCTGGATAAATTCACAGGCTAAGACATTGGTTTTCTCACCACATACATTTCTATGCCACAAATTCTACTTTATTTACAAAACACACACACACACACACACACTCACACACACAAAAGGCAATGGTAGTGCAGGAATGGCATCCAGCATCTGGCACAAGTTCCTACCACTGAGCCCCACCCCTGGTCCCAGCCCCTCTGGGTCCTCCCGAGGGAAGGCCTAAGGGGCGCTACCTGATGCTGTGACCCCTCCCCACCCAGACACAGCACAGGGCACCACTTGGCACGTTTGGGTTTTATCAGCTGTCCTTTTTGCCTGCCCCACAGGGACTGGATTCTCAGCCAGGTCATCAGTGACCAGCACCAGTAGGTGTTCTGTAAATACTGGTCAAATGGAGGTGAGGAAACTGAGGCCAGCAGAAGTTCAGCCACACCCTAAACCCACAGCGGGTAGGTGGCGGAAGCTGGGTTCCCACTCAGATGAACCGTCTGATTCTCCCCTACTCATTGCTAGGGTCCTAAATAGAAGTCCCTGGTGGTGCACTCCTGTAATGCCAGCACTCTGGGAGGCTGAGACAGGCGGATCCAAAGTTGTAGCCCAGGTTGGCCAATTTAGCAACTGAGTCAAAAACAAAAAAGAAACGGAAGGGCTAGGGATGTAGCTCTGCGCAAAAGCCCTGGGTTTAATCCCCAATAACTAAAAGGTGGAGCGGGGGGTCCTTTTGCATTCCAGATCTGCACAACCCACCTGCACACCGGGTGTGCCCAGTCCCCCACCCCACCCGCGGCCCACATACAGGAACTTGCCGTCGGTCTGCGCGCCTGAGTACAGCTTGCGCTCTGCCTCCTCACGGGTCAGGCCGCTGTGGTACCAGGGCATCCGCTCGTGGGCTGTGGTAGCGATGAGCTTCTCCACCTGGGGCGCCTGGCTCAGGATGGCCTGCTCCAGGGCCTCGCCCTGGGGAAGGAGGGGACAGGGGTGCTGCAGGGTGGCCAGGAGCAGGGCCGGCCAGCCGGCCCCCACTCAGACATACATACTTATAAGAGTAGAAAAGAGCCGGGTGTGGGGGCGCACACCTGTAATCCCAGCACTTGGGAGGCTGAGGCAGGAGGATCACTGTGAGTTCAAGACCAGCCTGGGCTACATAGTGATTTCCAGGACAGTCTCAACTACATAGTGAGACCCTGTCTCAAAAACAAAACAAAGCAAAACAAAAAAACGAGCACAAAAGATGTGTGAAACAGTGCTCAACCTTTCGCCCGCGATGGCGTAGGTGCCGTTGAGCTGGCGCTCAACCGGGAAGTGGTGAAAGCGCACGTCGTGCACCAGTGACAGCACATAGCCACCCAGCGAGCGCAGGCACTGGCGCAGCAGGAAGAGCCCGTCCGCCATGCCCGCCAGCTTCAGGTGCTCCTCGGCCTCCGCGCGAGAGATACTGCCGTAGAAGAAGGGCAGGTGCGCGGCGGGGTCCGGCATGGCTCGCGCCTGGCTGCCTGTGGGGCAGAGGCAGTCGATCAGGGCCTGCGTGGCCCTGGTGACCGGAGGACAGCGGCCCCTGCGGCCCCAGCCTCCCCCCACAACGCCCGCGTGTTAGATGCTTACTGTGAGGCCCGCCACCTGCTGAGAATTTAGATGCAGAAGGCAGTGACCCTGCCCGCAGGCCTGCAGCTAAAACTCAGGATGGGGGACACAGGAAACAAAGAGAGGGACAAATTTAATCATTGCACATGAAGGTCAGGCTTCCAAAGAAGGTAGAGTGGTTTTAAGAGGGAAAAGGTCCCTTAAGCTAGGATGGTCACCTTCACTCAAGAGGTAGCATTTGGGCCATGATCAGAAGAAGGAGAAGGAAGCAGAATCTCACAGAGCACAAGGAAGGTGCATCAAGCTGAGGAACAGCAAGTGCAAAGGCCCCAGGGCAGAGAGAAACCTTGCTCACTTCCAGGCCCTTCCACCAACTTCCCCTCAGCCTGGAGGAGGATGGATACATAAATAATGTGGTCAAGCAGGTAATTTTAAATTGTCCAGCCTAGACTTTCTGGGGCAATGGTGATGCCACACAGGGCCTATATTAATCACAACTCATAGAGAGTACACGAAGGCTTGTCCGTCTCACTGTATGTATCACCCCCAATTAAAAGAGCCAATTAAATGTGGAGCCCTGGTTAATGACCTGCATGCAGAATGTTTAGGTGTGATGGGTGCTCTTGATTGTCCTTTACCTTGAAGATTATCCAAAAAATAACACTGCCGGGTAGCAGGAAGTGCACGGTTTATTCTTGATATTCACAGTCTGTTTTTAAAATCACTGCAGGGCTGGGGATTTAGCTTAGTGGCTCCACACCTGCCTTGTAAGTGTAAGGTCCTGAGTCAATCCCTAGTACCAGGAAAAAAAAAATGATTCTGTTATTAAAATCACTGAAATGCTCAATTAGCAAATGCTAGACCATTGCTTCTAGAGGAAAAACAGATTCAGATTCCTGCAAGACTCTGGTTACATTTTCACCAAGTAATGAATGCATAACCTTATTTTTTGTGTTTCTGTTTCACAACACTTTTTTCTGGAGATAGGGTTTTACTAAATTGTCTCAGACTGCCCTCAGGCTCACAACCCTTCTGCCTCAGCCTCCCAAGTAGCTGGGATTGCAGGTGTATGCAGGCTGGGCTGCAGCTCGGTGGGAGACACCTGCCGAACGTGCACCGGGCCTGCACCACGCTGGACACCAGTCTGTGAACACAGGAGCTTGGCCAGAGGCACTGGAGCTGTGTGGCACTGGGCCGCGCCTCCCTGCACCGAGTGTCCCCAACAGCACTCCTGCGCTCTGCTCGGAGCCACTTCAGACTGTGAACTCACTAATAAAGAGTGCAAGTTTGCAGAAAGAAAAAGGCACCAAGTAGGCTGTGAAAAAGCACCAACTTATAGTATGAGAGGTGATGCCAGGAGCCAGGGTCCCCACTCTTCGGCGTCAGTAGGGACACACACATGGGCCACCCCCATTATTCCTCACTCTGTGTCTGCAAATGGCTGAAAAGCCCCTGCTGTTTGGGGATTACGAATACATTCTGATACATTCTGGCGAGTGGAAGAATCCACAGATACCGACCCTGTGGGGAGTAAGAAGGAGCTGTGCGGACAAATGAACCACGTGGGGTCCAGACAGCCCGAGGGCAGTGAGCTCCCTCTTTCCATGTTCGCAGAGGTTTTTAGGGAATGTTGAAAAAAATCATCTGCCCACAGCAAGGCCACTGGCCATGCATGGGCCTGGGCGGTGTCCCCAGCACCCTCCTACTCATACAAGTGGAAAGAAGGGCTAGGAAGCGTTTGTGGATTGAGAAACACTGCTGCTTCTGCCCTGGGTACTGGGGATGACACTCAGGACAGAGGAAGACACTGGAGTGGGGACCAGGGGGGCTACGCTGGGTCAGGGCACTGGGGAGGGGCCAGGTGACGCTAATACTGGCTCTGACCCTGGGCTGGGGAGAGCCAGGCTGAAGAGGGATCCTGGATGTCCCGAGAGCTACGAGCAAGCAGTGCTCCAGGGGACAGTACGGGACAGTGCTGCTGTCCCCACCTAGAGAAGTGTTTTAAGAGTCATTTTTAGCCAGGCCCAGTGGTACACACCTATACTCCCAGCACTCAGGAGGCTGAGAAAGGAAGATCACCAGGAGTTCAAGGCCGGCCTAGGCTACATAGCAAGACCCTGTCTCAAAAACAATCAAGCAAAAAAACTAAAAAGGTGATTTTTTTTTTTAAGAGTCCATACCATAAACATGAGAACCAAGATCTGCATGTAAAGGTTCAAGATCTGAATGATAAATGCAACTGTACTGTATATTTTAAAAGTACCAATAAACTCAATGAGGAAATAAAATAAAATAAACCTAACCAAAAAAAAAAAAAGAGTCCATGCCGTCAGAAAGTTTAAAATTAGTTGCAAGAACTCCTAGGGGTTCACCCTAGAGAAACAACACAACTATGCATGGAATCCCACACCGAACTCACAGAGCCTGTCCACTTGTGGCTGCCATCATTGGTAGCAGCATTACATAGTTTTCAACAGACAAGGAGGTGAGCATCCTAGCTGGGTACCCACCTCGGACAGAACAGTACTCAGCAAGAAATGCGGGTGCCCTGCTGTACAAGAAGCCAGAGTCCGGCTGCACTGGGAGCTCAGACAGGAGCTCGCCAGGTGAACTGGGCTGCACTGACTACAAAGGGTATGAGGCGTTGGGCCTCTTGTTGTTGTTTTGTTTTTTGGACAGGTGACCAAGGCTGGCCTTGAACTTGCCGTCTCACCCAGGCTGGTCTCAACCTGGCCGTCCTCCTGCCTCAGCCTCCCACATGCTGGGGCTAAGGCTTTGCCACCACGTCCCTTACTCTGCAGCTGGAAGGAGGTGGCGGTTTCCCAGCTGTATGCATTCACTGAACCTTGGGATTTCTCACTAAGTGTACAAAATCACTGCGCATGAATTATGCCTCCTTTTTAACTAAGAGGAAGGGGCTGGGCTGAGCACAGCGGTCACACACCGAGAAGTCCTTACTGAGTAGGACTCACACAGAGGGCTGTCTAACAGTCCGTCCCTGACTACTACATCCCTGACTCCAGCCCAGCTCTCATCCAGCCATGGTCTACACTGCACCTCCAGCAGATCCTCAGCACTGCCGTCTCCACCTCCTCGATGCCAGGTCCCCAAGGGCACCCTTCTGCTTCAGCCTCACAGATCTCTCTGGTCCTGAGCAGTCACCCACACCTCCTCCCACTGATTCGTCCTGCTCGTCCTCTGTCCTCCCGGCCCAGGCCCCTCTGGAATCATCCTGTCTGTAGCTACCCAGCTCTCCACCAGCCCAGATCTCTCGCCTGAGATAGGTTTGCTCTTTGATCTCCACCAGCTGTTTCTATTAATATGACCCGAGATCCAGATCTAACTCACACAGCACCTGTGGCTGGCTGACGCCTCCCAACCCCCACCTCCAGCTCGAGCCAGTTTCCCCTCAGCTGAGCTCTGGGGTCTGCAAGCTGCCCCGGGGTAGTTCTTTCCCAAAGCTTCCCATGCTCAACAACCTTCTGTGGCTTCCTTCTGCCTGCAGTGGGTCCCAACCCCTCAGCCCCCTGCCTCAGCTAGCTGTGTTATCTGCCTTCCTTCCTCTTCTGTCCAAGCAGCGCCGCCATGCGGTATCCCCCACCCAGCCCTGCTCCTGGCCATCTACCAGCCCTTCCTGCTCATCCCAAGATGGGGAGCAGGACCAGGTGAGGCAAGGTTGTCCTGGGACCCTGGGAGGGAGCGGAGGGAGGGGTGGCCCTAGGCTCTGGGACAGGAAGCTGTGGCAGGAAGCTGCCAGAGACAGGGTTTGAAGCTCCACCCCTCGGTGGCTGCAGGTGCAACCTGGGTAGTGGGAAGCGGGAAAAAAATTGGTGGGGTGCACCCTGTGGAGGGGGGAGCGGGGGGGGGGGGCAGGAGAGGACCTAGGGCTGAGCCAGGGCCCCAATCCGCAGACCCCAAGCCAAGTATAGGTCCCCCTGCCATCCTGTTCCTCCCCACTTCCCTGCTCACTGTGGGTGACCGCGGTGACAACCGCCACCGTGCCAGCCAGCCTGCCTGCCTCCACCTTCCTGGACCATCTTCATTAGCCCCTGGGGACCGAGCACCCTGGACCCCATGGCTGGGAGGTTGGAAGGACAGAGGCGGTGGAAGAGGCCGATCGGCAGAGTCCCGTGTGACCAGGCATCGGGTGTCCTGCACACTTACGGCCTCCCACCCGAGCCCTGGCCCAGGCTTTACCCAGGGGATAGCAGGACTTGGGCTGAAGGCTGAAGGACTGACCCCCATGACCTGTTCCTCCCTGCCCAGCCCAAGTCCTCCAGACTCACGGCTGAAAGACCCCTCTCAGAGCCATAGCCCCGGGGTGGCCCCAGGTACAGCTTGAGCCTGCCAGGGTGAGTAGGGACCCTTGGTCCTCAGCAGGATGGGCTGAAAACTCAGGTGTCCTCTCTGGGAGCTGAAGTGGCGCACAAAATGCCCTGCACACCCCACAGGAAAAGGACCCTGGCCAGATGTATTTCAAAGGCAGCGGGAGGACTTAAAGTTTTAAGAAGAGTGACAAGGTCCCTGGAAGTGATCCCCCTGCCTCAGCCTCCTGAGTGGAGAAAGGACCTTCATAGTTCTGTTAATCTCCATGTAGTCACGGGCCCTGAACACACACTGAGCGTCCAGAGCCCCAATTCGTATGAGAGTCCAGAGGGAAGACTGAGGCAGCCATGGTACAGAAGGGACACACTGATCCCTGGGGATCCAGAAGGAGGCCTGGAGGCTCTGTGTGCTGCTTCAGCTAGAGACAGAAGGCGCAGCCACCACCCCACTCTATCCCTGTCCTCTGTCCCAGGAGCTGTGTCCCTCTCTTCCCTCTCAGACCAAACTGGGCTCCAGGGGCCCAGCAGGCACTGTGCAGCTGTTTGTCACCTGCAGAATGCCACCTGGGCATGCATGTGAACTCCATCCAGGCTGCCCACCAACACAAGGTCCCCAGTGCTGCCCCAGTGGGCAAAGGGGAGAAGCCCTGGATTCGGCAGTTTGACCCACACAGGAGGCACAAGGACCTTCCACTGTGGGCATCTCTGACCTAATTTCTTTTTTTAGTTGTTGTTTTATTTTTGAGACAGGGTCTCAGTTAGTCCAAGCTGGCCTTGAACCACTATGGAGCCCAGGCTGGCCTTATCAGCCACAGCAACACTCAGAAGTGTTGAATGCCTGGTGGCAGGAGACACCTTCCTAGGTCCTTCCTGACCCAGGCATCAGGTAGAATCCTGGGATCACAGCCCCATAGAGCTGTGAGCTAAGCTCACTGACTGTGGCCTAAGACAGCAGGAACCCCAGCACCGGGCCCTTCTGCTATCATACCTATTTCCAGAGCCTCCAGGGCTCCCACCTGACTCTAGATGAGTCTTACGTCCTCACTACAGTCCCCAGGGCCCTGTGCATGTCCCCATCACACCCTGGCTCACTCACCACTCACCCCCATTCCTTATCACTCAGATCGCTGCACAGCTCAGCCAACCTCAGGGCCTTTGCACTGCCTATGCCTGCTACCTGTGCACCTTCACTGGGACCCCTCTACCTGATTCAGTCTGCCTGAATGTCATGCCCCTCCCCAATCCCTGCATGACCTCATATCTAACATAGCCCCTCTTGGTCCCTGGCCCAGCTTCAGTTCTTCACCACCTAGGGTGTGGTGCACCTATCACCATGTCGACAGTGTCTGTGTCCCCTGCTAGAGCGAGGCCTGTGAGAATGGAGGCTTTGTAGTGCCCGTATCAGCCAGGCATGGAGCCAGGGCCCAATGTGTGTCCCCAAGGCGGTGACAGAGGCCACCACAACAGGCACCTATAAGATGTGCAGGCGGAAACGCTGCTGAGATGAGGGACCCAGCACCTCTGTCGACCGCAGACATCAGGTCCCTCAGTTGTCCCCTCCACCCAGAAAGGCTCCCTAGTCCCATCTTCCCTGCCCAGCGGGGCCAGGCACTTCCCATGGGCTCCTAGGTCCCTGTTATTCGGATCACAGCTCCAGTGGCCACAGATGGTCATCCTGTTGGTTCCTTCATCCCTGACCATGCTGGGTGTCCCGTGGCAGAGCCCAGGGACACTCACCTCCCGTGCTGCCGCTTTCTCCCAGTAAATGTCTGCCAGGTGGAGCTGGGTATGGTGGCACATGCCTATAATCCCAGCCACTCTGGGAGGCTGAGACAAGAGAATTCCAAGTTCAAGCCCAGCCTGGGCAACTTAAGTGACTTAGTGAGACCCCGTCTCAAAATAAAAAGAGGGCTAGAGATGTGGCTGAATGTAAAAGCCCTGCATTCAATCCCCAGTACTGGGGAGGTGGGAGAAGGCAGGGGAGGGGAGGAGAAGGGGGGGAGAAGAAGGGGAGGGGCAGGGAGGGGAAGGGAGGAGAGGGAAGAGAGATAAAAATGTCTGCCAATGTCTGCCAACTGCCACAGCTGGGGGGCAGGGCTGCACAGCCCCTAGGTGTCTCCCCTGCTCACCCTGTCAACCCCATCCACAGGGCCCCCAGTCAGTAGAACCGTGTCCCTGTGCCTCACCCCAAAGCCACGTGTCATGCTCAGAACCACTGAGCCTGAAAACGGCAGGGATTTGAACCTCGGTTTTTCTGACCAGCAGCCGGCACTAACCTCTCCAGCAAAGCTCCACCAGTGGAGAGCTCTGAGCTGGGTCCCCAGGGCTCCTACACCCCCACAGAGCCCAGGCTGGCCCAGGCATCATTGCCCTTTGCCTGTCAGGGCCTGGAGAGCTGGGCTGTTAGGGGATCCAGGGCAGGTTCTAAAACCCAGCAGACTGTGTTTGCTGACTGACTAAACAACATCCCCCTACCCTCTGCAGTGCACCCCTGGCCCCAAGCCATGACTACAGATGTATACAGACAGTGCAGACTGGCTCTGGGGTCTCAACACTCGTTCTGGAAATGTCAGAGTGAGCTCAGTGTGGCGCAGTCTGTACCCTTCCCTTGATCTTCGCGGGTAGATTTGAACACAGAGAGGGGCAGTAACTTGACCAAGGTCACACAGTTGGTAAGTGGTGGAGGTAACTCAATGAATCAATGTCCCTGGCCCCCAAGCATGCATGTGAACGCCATCCAGGCTGCCCACCAACAGTGGGCAAAGGGGAGAAGCCCTGGATTCTGCACGCTGACCCACGCAGGAGGCACAAGGACCTTCCACTGTGGGCATCTCTGATCTAATTTCTTTTTTTAGTTGTTGTTATTTTATTTTTGAGACAGGGTCTCAGTGTGTAGTCCAAACTGGCCTTGAACTCACTATGGAGCCCAGGCTGGCCTCAAACTCTCAGCAATCCTCCTGCCTCAACCTCCTGAGTGCTGGGATTACAGTTGCTCGCCACCACGCCCAGCTTGACTATATGTCTAAGTAATGCTGCATTAGGCACTTCGTGTGTGCTCACTGCCATGCCCAAGACAAGCTTGTCACATGCAGCCCTGCTCCTTCCCACAAGCCTTTCCCATCCTCCCTCAAGTCAGGACCAGCCCCTACCACGGCCCACGTTTGGTCTGCATTGAACAGATGCCACTACTGGGGCTCAGAGAGGCCAGGCACCTGCCCAGGGCGCACAGCAGCTGAGCAGAACTCAGATGCCTGGCTCCTTATCCCCTGGGTCCCCTTGCCACAGCACCTTATCTGAGCATCCACATTTGGTGTCAAGTTCACCAGCCCGGCGCTGGGGACCTTTACTTCCCTGGAGGTTTCTCTGCTTCCTGGCCGAGGATGCAGCCTTGACAGTGTCCCCCAGATTCCTCCACTGCTGACCCTCTGCAGGGCAACCTCCTACAGGGTGGCCAGCCTAGAACCGGACCCCAGCTGTCGCAGTCCCGCAGCCCTCCCGGTCCCCTCCAGCAGCCTGTGGATTCCCTGGGTGACACCGTCCCTGCCCAGCCCCAGGCCACCCCACAGACAGCAGCCAGCGCTTCCATCTGGTCCTGACCTACCTGGGGATGTGCAGATGGAAGTGGAGGAAAAGCAGGCCACGTGGGGTCTGGGTCCCCAACACCGACTCAGTGCTGGCTCTAGATGAATAGCGGGGACCCATACAGTCAACTTGGCTTCGGGCAGCTGAGCCCAAGAGCCCCACTGGCCCCCACCCTCCTCACATACACAGCGAGGTGTAAAGTCAGTTCCTGCCGCGTTTCACACCTGCGAGGTGCAGGGTCGCTCTCCGCCTGGCTCTCTGGGGTCCCCTAGGATGGCCAGGGTGGCAGGGTATGGGCAGAAGGCCGAGGCTGGCCGCTCACCTGGGCACCCAGCAACTCTGAGGCCAGAAGGCCTGGTGTCGGGCTCTCACCAGCAGCCTGCTGTGCACCTCTTCCTCGACTCAAAGACAGGAAAGAGCTGCATTTGAAGTTTGCGTCATCATCACAAAGTGCTGTGTTCAAGGAAAACTGCAGACTCCGTCTTCCGGGGAGGGCAGAGGGCGTTTCCGGGGCCACAGGGTTGTGAGCCCCAGTGTGCAGGGCAGGGCCAGGGGACCAGATGGAGGGGCCTGTGTGCTGGGTCGGAGAGAAGGGGAACAGAGGGGGAGCCCCGGTCTGGTGGAGACACGACTGCAGGGCTTTCCCCTCTGGGTCATGGCCAACGCCCCCAGGTGACGAGGGACGAGGAACCCACCCAGACAGGCCCTGCCTTAATGTCCACAGTGCCTACTGTGCCAGTAGTATTGGGGACAGCAATGACAGACTCTCCCTGCCCTTGGAGGGGGGACAGGGGAGCTCCTCAGGGAGACGGGTTGGGCACCTGTGCACCTGGAGTTGCTCCAGTTCTGCTCAGGATGCCAGGGAAAGGCTCCAGGAGGAAACAGCCATACAGCCAGTACACAGAGACAGGTGCCCTCAGCACCCACACAATCCCACGCCAGCCTGCCCTCCTCCCTTCCCTCATCCTTGCCCACCAAGGGCCACCCCTTTCCATTGCCCACGGCATGGGGCCCTATGCTCCCCTTGCCCTGTCCACCTCGGGGATACTTGGGACCTGAGAACCTCTCTTCCCCAGGTCCTGCCATGCGCAGGAGAAAGGGGATCCCCGATCCACTCCAGGGTCCCTTATCTACCCCCATAGGTCTCTTTCTCACCTGTGATCTGCCTGCCCAATCCCCTCACCATGCAGGAAACCCTCTCTGGACTCCAAGCCGGAAGCTTTTTTTCCACCTAGGTTTCCCTAGGACTGCTTTTGCTAGAAGCCCTTCCTTTCCCCCCAGTCATGGTGAAAGTTGGGGTGCAGAACAAGGCTGTGTGAGCGCATGCTGGGTGCTGTTCTTTTGGAGTGATGAGTGAATGCCCAGCAGACTGAAAAACAGAAATCAGAGTGTTGGAATCACATAAACTATAAAACAACGACAGTAGCACCACGTTGCAGTTAATGACCCAATTCGTCCGCTTTCCAGAAGCGGGGCGTGGCCCTACAATCCCCACAGCTTCCAGTCTCTGCCACCGCTGGTCCAGCAACCTCCACACCTTCCTGTCCGGAAACCGTATTCCAAGACTGGAAACTGTGGAGAAGCCACAGGGCGCCAACCTAAGCGACTTGGGGCTGCAGGTAGGAGACAGATGGGGGAGGGGCTCACAGGAAAGGGCACGGATGGAAACTGGGCCGGGAAAGTTGCGTGCATCTGCGCCTGAGGCTGTGAATAAACACTCACCCCAGACACGAGAAGAGATCGGAAGGAACTGATCGCGCCCTCGCCGCGGTCCGCCCACGCCTGTGCACGCCAGAGCTCTCTGCACTGCCTGCTCCCAGCGTCTCTGACGAACGCAGCTCCCTCCGGGAAGCCTCACCGGCGAGGGTGGGCCTTGGGGCCGGCGTCTGCGGGGAGCACCAGTCCACAGCTGGGAAACATCTGGCATGGTCTGGGCGCATGCGGAGGGGGAGGGGGCTCCAGTCTCAGCTTGAGTACCCCCTTCCGGGCCCCTCCTGGGTGACTGCGTGACTGCCACCCCTGTGACACTTCTCTGCTCCCCTCCGCCAAAGGACTTGACCTGTCTGTGCCTTGATTTTCTCATTTGGGAAATGGTAATGGTACGTAACTCGTGGGGCTATTGTAAAAATTGAAAAACAGGCCTGGAAACAGGTGCTGCTCCGTGAATACCAATCCTCGTCGCATTTCCTTCGTCTTCATTATTCCCATTTCGATTCCCCAGCTTGCAGGTGACCACACCGCTCGGCATTCCCGGCACCCGCCAGAGGCAGCCCTGGGGCACTGCATGTTGACGGCTCCGCTCCGATGAAAGGGGCTGCCACCACCTTCCCTCCAGTGAAAATTAACCGAGCTGCTGGAAATCAGAACAGATACTGTGCTCTCCCCTGGGGGCTTCTTGCTAAGGAGTTCTGGCTGACGTCGAACTCATAGTGTTCCTTCTGCCTCAGCCTCCTGGGTGCTGGGATTACCAGTGTGTGCCACCACACCTGGCTCCTGGCGCTCCCTTTATTTATTTGTTTATTTTTGAGACAGGGTCTCGCTTTGTAGTTCAGGATGGCCCAGGCTGGCCTCAAACCCACAGCAGTCCTCCCGCTTCAGCCTCTCAAGTGCTAGGATTACAGGCATGTGAGCTCCCTACTTTTTTGTTTTTGTTTTTTTTAGACAGGGTCTCACTATGTAGTTGAGACTGACCTGGAACTCGCTATGTAGCCCAGGCCGGTCTCGAACTCAGTGATCCTCCTGCCTCAGCCTCCTGAGTGCTGGGATTACAGGCATGCGGCACCACTCCAAGCTGCTCCCTGCTTTTTAACACTGAATATTTAGTGTATACCAGACCTTATCTAAGCACTAGGGACCTGCTGTGCACATCTCATGAAAATCTCCCCACCCCCAGCACGACATCCTAGTGGGAAACAGAGAATTAAAATAAGTATTCCAAAGAGCATGGTAGGTGGTTACAAGCGCTAAGGAGGGAAATAAACCAGGAAATGGTAGGCAAGTTTTTTCCTTTTGCACAAAATTGCACAAGGGGCTTCAACTCTCATGAGAGGATCAAGAATCTTTCCCAGCATCCCCAACAAAAGTCTCCAACGGAGCCCACTGGCTAAGTGGATCACATGTCCATTCCCCAAGAGATCCCTAAAGCCTGACTGGGATGTGGGAGTGGCTTCTTTGTTTTGGCCCTAGCCAAGCCATATTTAATATGCTCACAACAGCAGCCACAAGTAGGCTAGCGCCATGTTACAGATACAGAAACTGAGGCCAAGTGGAAACAGGCTGGGGAGTTCACAGCTCGTAAGTGGCAGAGCAGTCTCAAAGGGAGCCCAACACTGACATCGCCAGTATGGAAGGTGGCCAGAGTGTACCTGTCAAGAGCTCCCGAGACAGCCTGGCATTGATGCTGTGCCTGCTGTCCGCCCAGCCCTGCCAGCCACGTCTCATTCCAAGCTCGAGAGAAGCCTGTCGCAGGCTCTCCGGATGGCTGGGCCATCTGCTCCCTGTGGTACCCCAGCACTCAGCCCAGTAGGCCTGGCCCACACAGGCGCTCAGAAAATGCTGGCTGCTGAAAGAGCCACCCAGTAGCCCCGTGGAAGGGTGAGCAATGGCCTTCTTTGCCAAGATGAATCCATGAAGGCTCACAGGGGCCATCGTAGGCCCAGCTCCCCAGGACATTGTGCCAGGCAACACACTTCCAGGTCAGAGGCAGACAGACAACAAGGGGACTGGCCACACCCCACTGCCACCTGTCCTGGCCAAGCTCATGAGACCACAGGGCAACCAGTGTGACACATCCATCCCTCTGTGCAGCTCCAGCTTCCTATCCATCAAGTGGGCACGGTCTTGCTTGGCTCCAAGGAAGGGCTGAAGCCACAGAGGCCAAGGGCAGGTCCGGGAGAAACCTTGTTCACCAGGACATTGAAGAAACTTGTTCACCAGGACACTGGGCTTGGCACCAGAAGACACCAGTAAATGCATGCCAGAGGAGGGGCCGATGCTCAGTAATCAACAGCTGAGCCGGCTGCTGGACAGGATGGCTTTCCCTACCCCACCATGGCAGGGACCCCACCCCGCCAGCTGTTTTCCCATCCTTCTCCTACCTGTCCCATCCCCTCCACTGCACCTTGCCCCCGCCCAACACCCTGCCCCCTCAGCTCAAATCCTCCGGTCTGCACCCCAGCTGTCTTCTGCCCTCCCCGACCAGGATCCAGTTCTTCCTTCTGCTGTGCCCATTCTCTCAGTGAGACCCTTACCCAAGACACGACACGGTGATGAAGTCTAAACAAGAACTTTATTTTGCTGGCCAGGACCTATCTTCCAGTGGAACTGGCCACAGAGTCAGATCTGAAGATGAACTTGAGTTAAGTTTTTATAGGAAGAGAAAAAAGCGAAACAAAACATTTTTTTCTCTTTTCTCTCTCGTTTACCTCAGGGTAAACTTTTTTATCTAATTACAGAAACAAGAAAGAATGCGCAGTTGAGACATCTGGGATCTCTGGTACAATTAGTTAAAAGGCCTCTCCTGTTATCTAAACCAGAATAGCATGAAATGTTTTAGCTAGGGAGTGGGTTTTTTTCACAGGAACATTTCTGAGTTTAGAGATCAGATAGTACATCTGGCAGGTGAGCTTCATAAACCCTTCCTGCTATGTCAGTTTTATGGTAGCCACAAGCACACTTTGTGGTCTCCAAAGGGGCAGTAGGTGTGTTTTAGACAAAATGGAGTCGCTTGTGTCAATCCAGGTTTTTTACTTCCTCCCCCACACACACCCGTTGTCCTCCCTCCCACCTTATTCTTCCCCACCTGCCCACTCCTGTCCCTGCCCCTCACTTGACACAGAGCCACTGGGGCTTCTCCTGCCCTTGGGGCATGAGTGTGACTGTGTGTCTGTGTCTGAGTGTGCAGGGCTGCCAGCCAGGGGGAGTCTGTGCAGTGTGTACAGTGATGTGTGATGCTGAATGGTGGACAAAATGCCCCTGGATGTGTCTCAGCACACGTCAGAGCAGACTGTGTCCACAGTGTGACACAATGGTCTAGTGATACAGGACCTCCAAATAATCCAAATAATATAAGGGAAAAATAACTCCCAACCTGCTAAATGTCTGATATGCTGAGTTTGTGTTCTGTAAAATCAAAGAATGAATTCTAAGAACAGCGGAGGTGAAGAGTAAGAAATATTCATTGAAAGACAATTTCTGTCTAAGAGACATAAAGGAGAGCCCCCAAAGTGGGTTACCCACAAGCCCTGCTTTTCAAGGGAATTTTATACAGCAAACCACTAGGTGAGGTGGGTGTAAGGTGGGACAAAACTATATTCAATAAGATTAAGTATGGTCGCTTAGGTATTATTGGTCCAATGGGAATTCACAAGGTGGGTATTTGGTGGGACAAAACTATTGTCAACCAATAGGATTACAAGGATAGTTGCTTAGGTGATATTGACTAAACAGGGATCAAATGAGGAAGCAAGTCACGAGGCAAGGCTGCAAGCATAGGGGGAGGAAGAGCGAGGGAGGTTTTGGTCCCCACCCAAGGTGACTGATGCCTATTTAGAATCTCAGTCACTGCTGTTCATCCCTAGGGGAATTATGTGGGTGTAGTCAATGCTTTTAGCCTGGAAGCCTGACCTTCAATTAATGAGCCTCCAGCCACATTTATCTTCTGCAATGACTTCTTGGAGGACCCAGCCCTATCGACTGCCTATAATGTTTCTAATTAACTTAGCTGTCTCCAGTAATGTCACCATGGGGTGGGGAGTCTCCCGTATATCTTTGGGCATGTGTTGCATTTCACTGTATTTGAATGGAAGTAGGGAGGAGGCCACAGCCACCACGTGGCAGCTGCAGGGAAGAGGCATAGGCGCCAACCCCAGACTAGGAAGTAGGAGGGGTAGGAAGGGGCGGGGTGGGGGTGCAGGGTGCACCAGTGTCCTGAGAGAGCCTGACAGGCATCTGCCTTGGGACTTTCCTCCAAACCCTGAGCCGGACAGGGATCATCCCTTGTCAGCACACAAGGACACAGACATAGCAGCTATGGCAGAACCACAGCCCAAGGCCACTAACTAGGTGGATCTGGTGGAAACAGGTTTCCTGGGCACTGGTGATGGGCTGGTTTTCCCAAGTGGTGAAGACCTGATGGGGCCCTCAGGCCACTGTGACTTCACTGTCCACAGAGACTGCTCCATACCCTCTAGATCCACACTCCTTCCCTGCCTGCCCCAGCCCCACAAACGCACAGACAAAGAGGTCTGGGTCCATCATCTGCCACCCCCAGGGAGCCACCCACCTGCTGATCACAACCGTAGGGCAGCCGCCAGATTCCCAAGCCTTTTCAGGGAGAGGCCTCTGGCCTTTAGGCCCCCCTGCCCACCTTGTCTGTGTGCTCTGGCCTGGCCCTCTGTCCATGGCCCTCCCTCACTCCCCAGCGCTGTGCTGGGACCCTCAGGCCATGCCTCTAAGAGAGGCCTCTCAACTGTGACTTGTCCCTGAACACCACCTAACGCACTGCCTTTGGTCCTGTCCCTGTCCTTGCTCTCTTGCCCCTCACAAGGGCCGAGACCTCCCACAGGACAAGAGCGCAGGGCCCTGAGCCCATGGAGTGGGGCTGTTCCGCCTTCCCATCTGTACCCCCATGGTGCTCATCCAGGGCGTGGCCAGGTGGTCACTTCCCACCCACCTCTACTGTGACAGCCCTGAGGATACCCCTCAGGAACTCCGTCCCCCTCCTTCCCCTGCCCCACCTTCCAAAGTAGGTGGCTGCTGGCCCGTGCCTCTGGAGAGTCACACTAATAGGAAACCAGAAAGGAAGCTGCTTTTCCCTCCTTCGCTCCTCCAGCTCAGGCCAAAGCCTTCTGTTGGAGCCAACAGCTGCAAGGACGCTGAGACGCGTCCCTGCAGAGCCCAGGCCTGCCAAGGACCACAGAGCAGAGGAGGAAATGGAGCCTGGCATATTGTACATAGGTAAGTTAATTAGATATCCTGTGGGCAGTTAGACAGGGTCAGCCTTTGAGGAGCCAACATGGAGGATAAGCAAGACACTTTTGCCAAAGGCCATCTATAAAAGGAGAAAAACTCCACACCCATAATAAATAGCAGTGATTGATATTCTAAATAGGTGTCAATCCCCCCCCCCGTAGGGAATCCAGACCTTCCAAGAAAGATCTCTGACCCATCCTTTACTACTGACAACCTCTGCTCATTCCTCGTATGCTTGCTGTGTGACTTGTTTCCCCACTGGATCCCCATTTAACCAATATTACCTAAGCGACTATACTTGTCATAATCTTATTGGTTGCGTAAGAGTCTGACTGAACCAGAGCGACTCCATGTTGACTAGCAAACGACGTAGAGACTGTTGCTCCCCCCATCCCTTATAGGATAACTAATGATTAATTGTGAATTGTTAGGTAACTGCTTTGAAGTAGCTGGGAAACTAAATGGAAACTGTAGTGAACACAGAGACCCAACATAAATCACACCACTCCTTACTTGCCTGTAGTTGAATGTTCTGAACATTATAATCTAAGTTGTAAATGGAATAATAGATAATCGATCTGCTGATCATTAGTACGTGACGGTCAAGTATATGCTTGATGACCACTAGCTCAGATCAACTGATTCTTTGCCTTTGTCCTCTTCCTGTAAGTTTTAAGTGTAAACCCCCCCTTAGCCCTATATGAAATGGCCTCTGTTTCTGAGCTAGCTGCCTCTCTGAGCTACTTGGCTTTGGGAGTGCCATCTGGCCAGACTAATAAAGGTCTATTTGCCAACTTGCCTGGTGTGGTCCTTCCTGGGTGACTCTCGCTGTCCGACAAGCTCCTGGAGCCTCGCTGAGCTTCTGAGCCCAGCATCGTGGAAGCCTCTTGGCTGTTCACGCTCCAGGAGTAAAAGTGAGACTTAAGTCTTACAGGTTGTTCATAGTTTTGTCCACTTTGTGATTTCTCAGCGAATCCATATTACCTAAGCAACTGTACTTGTAATCTTACTAGTTGACTATAATTTTGTCCAACTTTGAACCTACCTCACCTCATGGCTTTGTCCCATAAAACACCTTTAAGAAGTTGGGTGAGCAGGCAACCCACTTTCCAGTTCCCCTTCTGTCTCTCTTACACAAAAACCTTCTCCCAGTAAGTTTTCCTACTCTTAATGTCCACTGTTCCTAGAATTTATTCTTTGATTTTAGAGAACACAACTAGCGTTTTGGATATCTAGCAGTTTTGGGAGTCATCTATTTCATGGTGTCCCTGTTGGGACTTTTTGTCTCCTTTGTGTGGAGGACATGGATTTGGAATTTTCATTCAGGACAAACAGGACAAAGATGGAGGTTGATGGGCCAGAGTGATGAACTATGCTAGATACTTTTGGTTTGCCCTCTTTTCAAACCTGCTCTGTGCCCTCTGAGGCTGAGCAACTATCCCAGTGACTCCCTTGCTGTAACAAGAACTGTCCGAGAACCCTACCTAAAGTAACTTCATCTTGGATAGGGTGTGTTTAGCCATCCTGCGGACTCTGCCAGGATGCAGGACAACAAGGTCACCCATCAACACAGCTGCAGACCAGCAGTTTCCTGATAGTGTTAGGAAAGTTTTCAAGAAGCTCCAGTAGCCCAACCCCTAGCAGAGTCAGCTAACTATGACAGGCCAGAAGGTCACGTTAACCATTTCTGAACAGGAACCAAGATAAACATCTGGTACGGGAACGACCTGACCTAGCCCTAAACATTCCCGTAAATGATCCCCCACCGAAGTCCCCCTTCCCCTTTCTCGGAATTCCCCCTCCCCTATAGCTTGTGGTTTTTTTCCTTAAAAACTGTGTATCTACCCTGCTCCGGGGCTCAACTCCTCTGCCCCTGCGAGGGTTATGAGCTGAGCCCCAGTGCGCTGGAATAAAGACCTCTTGTGTTTTGCATCAAGAATCGTCTCTCCGGGGTGTTTATGGTGCATCACGGCGTCCCGGACTTAGAGTGGTGGGATTCCTCCCTGGGAGGATCTTACAATAGGGATGGGATGGGAGTAGAGTACACACAACTTTCCCCAAGTTCTCTCATCTTCACTTCTGCTGTTCACCTCCCAGCCCTAGAAAACCAGCAGTTTAGCAAATGGGAATTGGCAACCTTGGTAGTGCTGCAGCCTATAAGTCGCCCACTGCTCTCTGTAAGCAATCAAATCATTTCCCTGCCAATCTGGGAATGGCCCAGTCAGTCTTTGGACTATTGGCTCCCTTTCAGGAAAGACACATTTTTTTTTTTAATGTCTTTCCAAGAAATTCATCTGACACTTAGCTTCCTACTTGGCCAATAGAAGCCACCTGTAGGACATTGAAGGTCAAGACCACCATGAGTTTGAGGCATTTGTTCCCCAGATTCCTTCCTGATGCGTTTTGCAATTCACCCATAGTCCCACAGAGGAGTCTAGCCTGTCTAAGGCTCTCTCTGACTCTCCTTATTTTTTTGCCCTGCTCTGGGGATTGAGCCTAGGGCCTCATGCTTGCTAGGCAAGCGTTCCACTGCTGAGTTGCACTGCCAGCCATCTTTGGGTTTTTCTTGCTGCTCCAATCCCTGATGGCAACGGCTCCTACTCTTGTCTGCCCCGGGGTGTTTCAAACTCCCTTCACATCCATTTAAATGAACCCCTTCATTATATTCTCAACCATCCCATTTCCTTTTCCTGTTGTAACCATCCTGGCCACTCAAGCAGGAAATATGCTCCCCTTGTGAGTTCCCACTTTCTTCATATAATGCTTCCTGCAGTCCTGTTTGAAAAAGATAATAGATGTTGGCACTGCATGTGACCTTGGGGGACACAATCCATGCCTGGCTCACCTGTGGCTCCCTCCTTTTCTTCTGATATTATCTACAATACATATCAGATGTTCAAGTAGCATCTGCCATCCATGACTAAATAAACCATTGCTTTATTAAATAAATAAACCCATCATCATTGGTCAGGTTTGTCTTTAAATACTTGTCCTAAGTCTCTTGCACTGGTCATTAGTGCCTTGCCAATATAGACATCGATGGTAAAACGTTCTTTCTTGTTCCATTCAAGACTGGGAAGAGAAGGTAAATACACCTCACAGCCAGAGACTCAGTAGTCTCTCCATGGTGTCTGGATGGAGAATATCCTCACATCACCATCTCAGATCCTGGTTTGGGCAGCTCCTTGAACTGGTTTACACACAGGAATTGTACTTCAAGTGTTTGTGTTTTTCTGCAAATTTTTTGACACTTTCCTGAGGCTTTTGCCACCAACTCTTTTCATCCAATATAAAAATATTGTAAGTCATGTTCGCTGGAGGATGCCTAGTACAAAACAACAAAAAACCACACTGCTCACTAAGGAAATGGGAATTCCCACTGTCTGCTGGGATACAGGCTGGTGTTTCGGGGTACCCGGGTCCCACTTCCCACCAGAAAGGTCTGTCGTGTCCCTTCTGCCTTTGGGCAGCACAGGACCTCCAGTGAACCCCTCCCTTCCCATATTGTCCATCCACCACTCTGGTTCTACTCTGGGTCGGAGCCACCATCCCGACCGATTCTTTTGCCACTTCAGAGGCATGGAGGGAAAATTCAGGTCTGGCGAACAAGCCCTGATCAGAATTGTGAGGTGGATCGAGCTCTTCTGGAGATCTTACATCCTGCATCTCTAACTTCTCCCACAGGCCAGGCTCCCTCTTCACTTCCAGGGACCCACTGCTGTCCAAAGAGGAAGCTGCATGGGAAGTGGTAATGGCCTGACTGTCTCTGGGGCCTTTGGCATTTAAGGCATTCTGCTTTCACCCCTTTCCCTGGGGACAAGGTCCCTAGGTCCCTCGGGACCTAACAAGATGTTGGGCAAAACCTTGGGGTCTGAAAGAGCTGAGTGTCCCTCTGTCTCCAGGGAGGCACAGGAGGCTCCTAATTTTGAAAGCAGTTAGGCAGTGTGTGGTCTTGTACACTGTTGGCCTCCTGGAGCCTGCCCATGGGGTGCTCTCCTTGCACTCTGTCATCTAGGAGGATAATCAGGGGTGCAGTCAAAGTGACCACTGTTAGCACCTAGCATCTCAGGGCCCTGCTGTGCCAGGCACTAACCTTTGGCTTAGAGGATTGAAGGGAAGTTCTCAGGAGGGCTTGGGTGACAGCCATTTAGTAACCACAAAAGCTGCTCTATCCACCAGCACAGCTCGACAAGAGGGATGGAGAACTCCTCCCTCCTATAGCTGTACTTTGCCTTACCTTTCTGCATCCTTATTCTTAGGTTCCAATCCGTCCTCCTGGCTCTCCCCACTCCCTTTCAGTAACCCTCAGGTCTGGCCTGGCGATTCGAGAAGAGCCCATGCCAAGGATGCCAAAAGCTGACTGTGCATCAGTGCCTAAAACCTGATCTCCCTGGGTCCTCTTGGGGTGTGCTGGGCTTAGCGACCTCTGCCCTCCCCCTAAACCTGGGGTCTTCCAGAAGCTGGGGGGGCAACACCGATTCAAACACCAGGAGTTCTTGGAAGGAACTCACAAAGACTGCCTCCTCTTCACATAAAAAGTCAGCAGGAACACCAACAGCACCATGACTCCGAGGATTGCCGCCACCGTAAAGGCGACCGAGGTGATGTTCTTCTGTAGGAAGTGCAGAAGCTGCCCACAAGGCAGATCTAAAGGGGAAGTCACAGGGCAGAGGAGACAGAGAGGTGACATCATTCTCTAGCCCGGGTTCCATCCCCAGCACCAGAAAAAAAAAAAAAATTAGCTGGAAGCATCACGAAATGCCAGAGATGGTCCAGAGCTCCAACAGCCCTCTACACATGCACAGAAATTTCATCAGGGAGGTTCTGCAAGTTATGGAGATGGGATTGGGCATAGAGGCAGCCTTAGCTAGATCTCAAAGAAAGGGGATCCCAGGGCCAGGGATGTAGCTCAGAGTCACTGCACCAGGGTGTGGGAGGAGAGTGCTGACCAGGGTCTTTCTGGGCCATGAGGGAAACTGAACACCCCCAAATCTTTACCTTGATACCTGAAGAGGCAACAAAGAAGCACTCAAAGGGCTTGTCAGGATAATTCAGCATTTAATCTCTAAGAGCCATGAAGTGACAAGTGGGTAAAATTCGGGCAGTGTGGAGGGGCTATATTGGGCATGGTTCCAAGGAGGTCTGAGCTCAGGCAACTGAAGAAGAAAGATGCCAGACTCATAGGGATGAAGGTAATCTTTGGCATTCAGTCCCTTCCTGCTTGTCAGAAAGTCTCTGTGTCTAGCAGTGGTAGGGGCTCAGAAGATGATGTCCACAATTTGTTTTGTTTTATTCTGTTTTGTTTTGAGACAGGGTCTTGCTATGTAGTTCAGGATAGCCTGGAACTCACTATGTAGACCAGGCTGGCCTCAAATTCACATTGACCCTCCTGCCTCAGCCTCCCAAGGGCTGGGATCACAGGCATGCATTCCCATGCCTAGAAATGCACATGTTTTGAATGACCCTAGCCATGTAGAAACAACAGAAAAGTAGCACCAAGAGCTGGGGATTTAGCTCAGTGCTTCTGCCGCCTGCCTCACAAGTGCAAGGTCCTGAGTTCGATCCTCAGTACCAAAAGAAAGGAAGGAAGGAAGGAAGCCGCCTGCCACAAGTGCAAGGTCCTGAGTTCGATCCTCAGTACCAAAAGAAAGGAAGGAAGGAAGGAAGGAAGGAAGGAAGGAAGGAAGGAAGGAAGGAAGAAAGAAAATTCTCAGTACCAAAAGAAAGGAAGGAAGGAAGGAAGGAAGGAAGGAAGGAAGGAAGGAAGAAAGAAAGAAAAGAAAGAAAGAAAGAAAGAAAGAAAGAAAGAAAGAAAGAAAGAAAGAAAGAAAGAAAGAAAGAAAGAAAGAAAGAAAGAAAGAAAGAAAAGTAGCACCTTTGCAGTGGTCAATGCCTGGAGTTTGAATTGTAGACCACATGCCCTCACAGCTAAAGGTGTGCCTACATCTATTCAGACAAAAGAGCATGAAAGGCCAAGGCCACATCCAAGTCCTATGCTTGCTAAGCACCCTCCTGCTCTCGTGCTATCTGGGTGATTACCTGGACTGGCAGATTTTCGCAGTGCTGCCACAGTCACAGCCTTGTGAATCAGGGAAGAGTCTCTATTCCTCTTTTCCTCTGAAATTCGGTCTACAAAAAACAAAGGATAACATAATGTTGGAGTGTGGATCTGGGCTGTTCCCTAAAGGCTGATATGGTAAAGTTGTGGTCTCCAGGGTGGCGTCATTGGGAAGTTCCAGAATCTTTAAGGGGCAGGGCCTGGTGGGAGGTCTTTGGGTCATTGGGGATGGCCTCAAAGAGGATCATGGGACCCAGCCTCTCAGCTAGAGGCCAGCAGCCATTGTGTTGTACCCTCCCACTTAGATGAGCCACTTCATCATGGTCCCAAGACAACAGAGCCAGCTGATCATGGGCTAGAACCTCCAAAACCGAGCCACAATAAACATTTCCTTTTATGAGCTGATTCACTCAAGTATTTTGTCATCGCAAAGGAAAGCTTACACACACACAAACACACACACACACACACACACACACACTCAACCAAACACTGCCCCAAGGTTCATTCTGTTTCAGACTAAGTAGCTTCTTCCACAGTGGAAATGAGGAAGGAAGGAGGATTTTCAAGAAGAATCTAAACAGACTACAGACATCAGTATTTGGGTTTTGGGTTTCTTTTTCTAACCTAACACCTTCCTGGGTAACTCAATCAGGACCGAGGCCATGGTCCCTGCAGTGGTGTGGGCATCAGAAGCACAGGGAGGGCTCGTTCACTCCTGAGTTTTGGACTCAGTGGGTCTGGGATGAGCAGAGAATTCACTTGTCTCACAAACCAGACAGACACCACTGACTGTACTGAGAGGACCCTACGGGGACTTCCAGCCAGCCCCAGTGCCTCTCAGAAATAAACAGAGATAATAGGACCCGCCTCATAGAGGCACAGTGTTTGTGAAAATGATTTCTAAACTCCAGTGTATCATACAAAATGTTTCTCAAGTGTCAAGGACAAAGCAGAAATTAACCACACTGAATTATTTGTCAGTAGAAGGGCTGCAGAATGGTTTATAGAAAAAAGACAGGGTTGAACATGAGAAATATTTGCATCCTAGCCCTGCCCTTGGCCACCTTTGACTCCTTTGAGATCTGGAAAAGGGCCCGGGTGAGCTTGGCTTGGAGAAGGGCAAGGCGAAGAGAGCTGTCTTCAGCAGAGGCAGAAATGACCCAGGAAGAGCTGTTATGAGAAATTGGAGGGAAAAAACTAGAACAGTGGATAGGAGTCCAGGGGAGATCTATTTGGACTATTTAGTAGCTGGAAAGTAGAGCTATCAAAAAGAAAAGAAGCCAGGCATGGTAGTGCAAGCCTGTAATCCCAGCACTCAGGAGGCTGAGGCAGTAGGATCACCACAAGTTTGAGGTCAGCCTGGGCTACATGGTGAGTTCAAGGCCAACTTGAACTTCATAGCAAGATCCTGTCTCAAAAATGAGGGGAAAGGAAGAAAAGTAAGAAAAATCTCATACCCCAGATGGGTTTGAGCCAAGCTGGAGTACTCCAGCTCCTGATGGGAAAACTCTGAGCTAGAGGGACAGTTTGGGGTGGGTTTGATAAATCTTCTCTACACAAAAAAAGTCTTGGGCTAATGGTATAGCTCAGTAGTAGAGCACTTGTTTAGCCTGTGCAAGGCCCTGGATTCCACCTCCAGCACTGAAAAAAAAAAGAAAAAAAGAAAAAAGAAAAACATCCAGGAAGCTCTTTATTGTGGCTCTCTTTATTGTGCTTTTGGATGTTCCAGCCCATGATCAGTTGGCTCTTGGGACCATGACAAAGTGGCTCACTGTAGTGGGTGGGTGAAACAGAGCAGCTGCTGGCTTCATAGCTGGGAAGTAGAAGGAGAGGCTGGATTCCCATGATTCTCTTTGAGGGACACCCCCCAACAACCCAAAAGCCTCCTACCAGGCCTGACCCTTAGTAGTTCCAGAGCATCTCTCTGTTCTCCGAAAGCAGGTGCAGATATGACCTGAGCACTTTCTAAATGCCCTCCATTGTAGCATATTTCTACCCTATAATTCTTAATTGTCTAGACTGACTCTCTTCTCAGCTGTGAGCTCTTGGAGGATGAGAAGGCTTCTTTAGCTCTCCAGCTTCCCACAGGGTAGGAGAGATCAGCAGCTAGGCACTGGGGGAACTGATCATGAAAGGTAACCAATGACAGAAGATCAGCCTCACTCATTCGGCAGCTGGAACAAGGCCTTGCCTCCTCCTTGGCCCAGGTGCCAAAAGCCATCAACTGTGTTTCACTGATTACTGTCATGATTAAAGGAAACTAACCGGGCACATTAGCAATAGGAGTTAAAAGAGTATTGAGTCATAAATCCTGAAAGATCATCTAAGGTGGGGAATGTGTAAAACTGTGCAGATGTCTGAGCTCCACTTTTAGAAGCTCTTGGTGGGTTCCATAACAGGAATTGGCTCTCCCATCCTGCAGCCTCTACCCATGGGCCTGTGTGGGAACCCTGTGCCCATTTATACCCTCAGACCCAGGAAAAACCATGTATTTGCCAGACTATACAATGATATATTTGGCCTCTATTTTCTCCTTTCTTAACTTTTCAAAGGAAGAATTAACTGCCAGATGGAATTCGAGTTGCTAGCCTTGTTTGTTTTGGTTTGGTTTGTCTGCCAGGCTAGGGATGGAATCCAGGGCCTCCTGCATACGAGGCAAGCGCTGTACCACTGAGCTGCCCACCCAGCCCTGCCATCCTGTCTTTAGGGCCAGTGAGCCTGTCCATTAGCAGATCAGCAGGATGCTGATCACAGGACACTTTCCCTTGCTGCTCAGGAGGACGGAAAGCCTTCCCAGTGGCTGCCCCCGGCCATGCCTCCCTGGTGCTTTGGGAAGTACCAGCTGCTGCCAGCTCTTTCTGCTCCTCGTTGGTATCTATCTGCCTTCGGAGAGTTGTGCCATGCTGCACACTGTGCTGAAGCAGATCGTGTCCTGAAAGCCCCACCCTGACAGGGCCTGGGAGCATGTCCTAGTTCATGGTGAAGCCCCCAGTGTCCCGCTGGGTCTCCTCTACAGGAGCCAGAGCTCCCTCTGCTGGAGCCTTGTTCAGCCTTGCATTTAGGTGTGAACTCAGGAGAAAGGACTTAGGTACTGGCCTCATCAGCAACTGTATCGTTTGCATTTACCGTCATCTGGAAGATTGTCCATACTGTCAAGAAAATAGTCTGGTTCCTCAGAATTCCAGGGCACATTGGTTCCTTGAATGAAATACATGAAAAAGAGATTTTCTTCAGTGCATACTTACAAGTGTCTGTTATTGTAAATTTTTATTTTAAAATTTTTTTAATGAAATGCTAATATAGAACCCAACTTGTATGAAGAAATGTGTGTGTGTTTGGTTGAATTAGTTGGTTTTGGCTTCTAGAGACAGGTGTCACTCTGTAGTCCAAGCTGGCCTTGAACTCACTACATAGTCCAGGCTGGCTTTGAACTTGAAGCAACGCTCCTGCCTTGGCCTCCAGGGTGCTGGGATCACAGGCGTGCACCACCACACCTGGCTAACATGTACATCGAAGTGCACAGTGTGTTCGCTGGGAAGTTCTGTGTCTCCCTGCTTCATGTCAAAAGTGACAGTGACCCCAAGTCAGCCTCCTGTCCTCTGAAGGCCTTCCAGATGACAGAACCTGCCTGGCACTGCACAGCAGGGACCATCCCCAAATGCAGCGAAATTCGTGCTGCAGCGGACCACAGAGGCCCCGTTAGAGGAGTATTTCGGACAGTTCTCTCAGAACCTCACACTCAAGTCAGCTCCACCCCAGCAGCAGGTGGCTCCCAGCATGCTAAGCGGCAGCCTGGTCCACCTCCCACAATCCCTGGGCCCGGGAAAGGTGTGCAAGCTAGGTAGTGGCGACAGATACTTGCTTTCATCCGGGTCTTTCCTGGTACCTGACACGGCTGCTGTACTTGCTTTCTCAAAAGCTGCGATGGCTGTATCTTCGGGAGCCGCTTGGTGCAGAATGTCATCTGCCGGGCAGACAGAGGCACATCAACAAGGCAGCAAGACTGATGTGTCCTGCGCCATGAGTACATGAGCGGTCCGTGCACAGTGAGCCAGGGACACGGGACACTGCTCTGGGTGCCTGGTTTTAGGAAGGAAAAGTGCAGCAACCTACGCCATCGCTGGATCCTTGGGACTGAGTTAAAATCGTCCGCCAGAACACAGGGCTACAACTCTGCCCTCAGTGTCATTTTCAGTGTCATAAGCTTCCTTCCTTCCCCGCTGCTATTGTCATTTTGACCCACCTACAAGACACTCCCCAAGATGACCCGTAAAAATGGGGTGAAGGTTGTCCTGAGGGTGCTGGCACTTAAGGGGGATCCTCGCTGGAACCGGAAGGGAGCCATAAGGCTCACAGGCTCAGGCCAAGGCCTGCATGATCCTGAAAATGCTACCGAGGGAGAAGCTGCGGGCTGCGCAAGTCAGCAGGCTTTGGGGACAGCATCCTCCCGAACCCCACAGACTGCCATCCTCAGATGCACTCAGTCCCCTGCTGCACAAGCAGGATGGGGTGCAGAGACCCTGGGGTCACCCACAGGAAGGAAGAAGATGCGTCTCCTGGTCTCTACACAGGGAGTGCAGCAGGTGGGATAGCAAGAGCTGCTGTATCCACTCTTCACCCGTCACTGTCGCCTGCCACTCCCCTGGTCACCAGTCAGTGAGTGCAGCAGAACTGGGGCCCCTCAACAGCACATGAGAGGAGCACAAACCCTGAGTTCCTGGCCCGGGGAGCCCCCAGAAGAAGATCCAACACAGGGGGATGCCCACCACGAGGCATCATGGCAGGGTAGCAGGCTCACTCTCTCCGGGGCTTGCACTCACACACCTTCCTTCTGTCCAGCTCTACTGGGGAGAGCTGCCCGCCCCCGCCTTGGCCACGGAGGACTTTCTGGGTTTTGCATTTGGTGTTTTTGTTGTGTTTTGCTTTTACTTTTTGGTACTGGGGATGGAACTCGAGTCCTTGCACTTGCAAGGTGATCCAAAAACTTTCTGCTCATTATAAGTCACCTGGTCTGTATTATTCTGTGATAATAGCACGAAACAGACTAAGACAACCACCAACCTGTGACTCCCACTCTTCCCTCCCCCAACCCCTGGTAAACTGTGTTCTTTTTTTCATGTCTCTATGGATCTGTCAATTTCATTTATTTATTCATTTTGGCAGTACGGGGGGCTGATTCAGGACGTTGCACTTTGCGAAGCAGGCGTGGTGCCACTGAGCTAAGTCCTCGGCCTGGATCTGTCATTTTTACATAGCAACAGCACCATACAACACTTGTATTTTGTGTCTTGCTTATTTCACTCAGCATACTTCCTCCAGGGTTCGTCTAATGCATGTCATAGAATTTCATTCCTTTTTGGGAACAAGTAAGGTTCCATACTGTTTATATACCCATCTGTTATGCACTTGAGCTGCTTCCACTCTTTCCTGTTGTGAAAAATGCTTCTATGAACACTGCTGTACAAGCATCTGTGTGACCTCTTGTTTTCAATTCTAGACCTAGAAGTAGAATTTCTGGGTCATGTGGTAATTCTGTGTATAATAGTTTGAGGAACTGTTTTCATAGAAACTGCACCATTTTCTGTCTCCACTAGGAATGCTTGAGGGTTCCAGTTTCTTTCATCCTCAACAACACTTGTCATATCCCCCTTTTTAATACTGGCCATTCTACTGAGAGTGATGCAGTAGCATTTTATACTTCCCTGGTGATGGATGACAATGAGCAATTTTTATTGGCTATTTGTTTTGTTTTGTTTTTTTTTTTTTTAAAAAAAAGGTCTATTCAAGTCCTTTTTTTTTTGTACCAGGGACTGAACTCAGGTCCTTGTGTTTTTGAGGTGATGGAACCACTGAGCTAAAACCCTGGCCCTCAAGTCCATTTTTTAATCATGTTGTTGTTGTTGAGTTATAGGAGTACCCTGTATTCCAGATAGTAACCCCCATCAGATACATGATCTGCAAATATTTTCTGTCATTTTGTGGCAGAAATGCCTTTGCAAGCAAAAGTTTTTAAATTTTATGATATCCAGTGTTATCAAGTTTCTCTCTTGTTGCCCATGCTTTTGGTGACAAATTTATGATGTCCTAGTCCAGGTAACGAAGATTTTCATCTATACTTCAAGGAGTTTAGCGGCTTCAGCTCAGAAATTTAATCTCTGAACCATCTGGGGTTTTAATGCTTGTGTGTGGTGTGAGCTAAGGGTCCAGCTTCATTCTTTTACATGTGAGCAGCCAGCTTTGCAGGTATCACTGGAAGAACCTTCTTTACCCTCTACTAGCCTGAGCATCCCTGTCAGAAGTCTGCTACCCACACCAGGCATGGGGGCACAAGCCTGTAATCCCCTTCCTCTATTCAGTGTAAATTTATAACAACCTGGTTGGAACGGCGTCAACCTAGTTTCAGTATACACTCTGTTCATGTCTATCTCCTTTGTATTATTGACACAGCTTACATCTTTATACATTCCAGGCTCATTAACATGTTTATAATCAGTTTTTATGAATTTACTTTTTAAATTGTGTAGGAAAAAAGTTATAGACTAAACCAAAAATATAATAATATTGGCTTTTATGTTTACCTGTGTAGGTACCTTTACCTTTGTTTGTTTTGTTTATGGCTTCAAGATGGCACTTAATGTGTTTTCATTTCAGCCTGAAGAAGTCCCTTCAGTATTTCTTGTAGGACAAAACTCTCAACTTTTTTTTAAGAGTAGGAAAAATTTATTGAGGGAGAGAAAGCTTCTGTCTAAGAGAGACAGAAGCGAGACCGGAAAGTGGGTTGCCCCCTCAACTTTTGTTTATATGGAAATGTCTTATTTCACCCTTACTCTTTTTAAATTTTTTTACTAGTACATGTTTGTAGTATATATAATGTTTACTTTCCTTGTGGGTAATAGCCTTTATTCTTGTTGTGTTTTTTCAGTACCAGGGATTGTACTTGCCAGACAGGAGCTGTGGCACTGAACTACATTCCTGGCCCCAGTCTTTACTCTTATAGGATAATTTTGTTAAATATAGAATGTTTTTGCTGTTGTTTTTTGAGACAGGGTCTCACTTTGTAATTCAGGCTGGCCTTGAACTCACTATGTAGCCCAGGCTAACTTCAAACTTATACTGATCCTCCTGCCTCAGCCACCTGAGTGCTGGGGTTACAGGCATGTACCACCACACCAGCAGATACAGAATTTCTGTTTGATATAATTTTCTTTAAAGGTTTTATAAATGCCATCCTAAACTGGATATAGGGGCAAACACCTTGTAATCCCAGCATTCAGGAAGCTGAAGCAGGAGGATCCTCTCAAGTTTGAAGTGAGCATAAGCTACATAGTGAGTTAAGGCCAGCATGAAGTACATAGCAAGACCCTGTCTCAAAAACAAAAAAATTAAATACAAAAATTAAAATGCCATCCTATTGCCTTTAGGTAGTGTTCCATGATTTTTGAGGAGAAATGAGCTGTAAATCTTGTTGGAAATACCTGAGTTTTTTGTTCATTTGTTTTGGCTGTACTGGGGATCGAACTCAGGACTTTGTACTTGCCAGGCAGGTGTGGTGCCACGGAGCTACATCCCCAGCTCTGTATCTGGGTTTGTTGTTGTTGTTGTTGTACCAGGGATCAAACTCAGGACCTTGTGCTTAAGAGGCAGGAGAGGTACCACTGAGTTAAATCCCTGGCCCTACATATAGGTTTTGACAATTAGACTATTATGTGTTTCAAGTTGGATCTATTTTAGTTCATCCTGCTTGGCATTTGTTGAGCTTCTTGGATCTCTCTATTCAAATCTTTCATCAGATTTGGGAAGTTTTAGCCCACTATTTCTCCAAAAGTTTAATCTCCTTTCTCCTTTCCCTCTTCTGAAATTCCCATACTTTGTATCCTGGTGTCCCAAAAGTCCCTGATATTGTGTTCTGTTTTCTTTTCATTGTTTTGTTTCTGCTCCTCAGACAAGATAATTTCCTTGTCTTATCTTCAAATTTGTTGATCCTTTCTTCTGCCTGTTCACATCTGCTGTTGAAGCCATCCAGGGAGCTTTTTATTTCAGTTATGTACTTTCAGCTCCAGAACTTTCCTATGGCACCTTTGTATAATTTCTATTTCTTTAGTAATATTCACATTTTTTCTGTATGTTTTTTATCTTTAATTACTTTGTCCATGGATACCTTTAGCTCATGGAATATACTGAAGACAGTTGATGTGACATCTTGGCAAAAACTACAGTGCCAGGCTGTGAGGTGGTCTAATACTTCCAACACCTAAGGATGGATTCTGTCAAATTCCTCTTTTCTATTTCTTTATATGTTTTGCAACTTTGTTTAAGGTGGAGGATTCTGAGTATTAAATTTTAATAAGTAATGAAATATACAGTGGACCCTTTACTTACAAACTCGATTCATTCCCAAGGGCAGTTGTAACTCAAGGTGGTCAATTGAAGGCTCAGGCTCCTCTACACAGCCTTCAAAAATCTGTCTCCTACATACAGGCAGATCTCAGTGTCCTTAGAGAGACATTTCCTCAGGATTTCTCAATGAACCTCACACAAGAAAGGATGTTGTAATGTTCCTTCCAAACTCTTTAAGGGTTAAATCTTCATCTGAGACCATCTGGAAGCACAAGCAGCTGACATTCAAATCATAACTCAAAACTCTGGTCAAAAGTTAATGCTAAAATTCTGGTTGTAACCCAAACTTTTCACATATCAGGGTGGTCATAACTTGAGGGGCCACTGTAATCCTCCCATTATTCAGGGATTGCTTATTTTTGCTTATTAAGGGTGGAACCATCCATATATGACTTCTCTAAACTACTATTACAAAGTGTGTACTCTTTTTTTTTTTTTTTGACTGGGGATCGAAGTTGGGCCCTTGCTCTTGCAAGGCAGGCAGTGGAACCACTGAGCCAAACCCCTGGCCCAAAATGTGTACTCTTTATTGTATGTGGGTGTTCTTTCTGTTTTGTTATCTTTGAACTCAACCAGTAGCCTGACAAAGGTTTCCTTAAAATCTACCTTCCAAAAGATGAGGGAAAAAACCCAATGATATCTTTATAGTTATTTGAAAGCCTCTTCAGTTTCTGGTGCTCTAAACAACAGCTAGGCTGTTGTGTCTGCAGTGACTTAAAGCAGCAATCAGCAACCAATGCACCCAGACCAGGTTTTGGAGGACAAGGCCTCTAGTGCCTACAATGGCACTATCAAGCCTCACCAGGAATATGGGCTGCTATCTGCATAGCTGCCTGCCATGGGGCTTGAAGATGGAGACCAGCAGCACCTATGTGAAATGCTAGAGTTCACCAGCACTTGCCAGCCTGCTCATCCAAATCACCCTGGGACTCTGAGTGTCCCAAGACTCCAGTGTTCCAAAATAGCTTCTGGCTAGGAAGGTCTTGCCAGCTCATTTGCTGTTTTGCTAAAGGGACAGATTTTGGAGCTTCCTACCCCATCTTCTATCTGAACCTTAGTTTTTTGCAAACAGTAAAGGAGAATCTTGAGGTGGATCAGTGAGACAGCTGAGAATCACTGAAGGTCTTTGGAAACTACCAATGCCAAGGTCTCCTCATACACCGTGGAAGATACCTTGGACAGGGCAGGATGTATCTCTTTCAACAAGAAATTCTCATGCTCCCAGGTGGAGACCCTGCTGCCACTACCTGATCCCCTCTTTAAGAAGCAGGATCCTTGCAAGTGTTTATCTTCCATAGTTTGCTTAATTTCTTGGGACTTTGACACTTAGAGGAACTAATTCTAGCCACAAGCAACTGGAACAGGTTACCTGGGAGATAACCAGGGACAAGCGTGTAACTCTTCAAATCCAAACTAAAGGTTTCACACAGGGATGTTACTTACCCAATAATTTCTTCAAATCATCATCTTGCCCATTTGAACTTGAAGCAAATTCAGAATTGCTCAAGCCATTTTCCTGGAAATAACCTGTGGGAAAATAAATCTTAGCTGTGAGTAAATCTCATTGAATCTATGTTCATTCTCTTTAAAGTCACCCTCTGCTGTGAGGTATTTGAAGAGAGCATCAGGCGGCTGCATCCAGGTGTCACCAGCATTAAGTATATGCAGGAATCTGACGTTCCAGCATGAAACCAAGGGTAAAGCCCATTTTCACATAGTTTCCCAATAAACAATACATGTGGCAAGAGAGTAATCTGCACGGGAAGCTTTGATCTGCAAGAACACTGGAGCAAGGGCCTGTGTGGTGTTTACAGAATGACTGCTCTGATTCAATAAACCACAAATGCAAAGTTTTCTGTCAACAAGATATCAATGAATCATTAGGAACAGATCCTCTAAGCATTTTGTTAAAAATGTGTATAGGGTATGTGTATAGGCCAAGGGAGTATTGTGAAACATACAAAAGAGTTGATCAAGACTATCCAGTAAAATACATTTTTGTCTTAAGCAAGAGGTATATGAAAAGAAGCCCATAGACTGAAAGTGAAAGGATAGAAAACAATTCTCCATGTGACAGGAGCCCAGAAAAAAACAGGGGTAGTAATCTTATTTGAAGACAAAGCAAATTTCAAACCAAAACTGATTCTAGTATTATTGATGTAGGACGGTACTGTATCATACCTCTATGAATGTAAAATATCTTGTACCTGCTTTATAAGTAGTGACTGCTTTATCAGAGCTATAATTAATGATATTACTCTAGAATTTTCTCTTTCCAGATGATGATTAAGATGCTAAAAAAAAAAAAAAAATGGTGCCAGCTACCACAATGCAACAGAACTTTGCTGTTTTCTGGATATTATTCTTTTCTTTGTTTTGTTTTGTTTTTTAATGGAATGTGCTGAATGTCTATAATTTTGTTCAGATGACTGCAGAACCTGGAAAAGCTGTTGCTGCTATTGATGCATAACATACTATTATTAGTCTTTTTATATAAATAAATAAATATATTTATATATATATATATATATACACACACACACACACACACACACACACACACGCACGCACATATATATATAAATTGAATTTTGGGAAACTTTAACAGTGCTGTCAACTTTGGAAAAAGTCATCCCAATTTACTGTGTTGAGTTGGCATTGTACAGAAATGGACAGCCATATTGGTCTAGAAATGTTAATTTTTTTATTTTTATTTTTTTTCCATTTGTACAGGGGTAACACACTATACTAAATATGTAAGGTCATATCTACATGGGTTTGATTACAGAAACTAATAAAGTATTCTCTAAATAATGAAAAAAATAAGATAAGACTACAAGAGCAAGAAGCAATTTAAATATGTTCAGGGACCATTTTCATCTCCAGAATTAAGGATTATTTTGATGTTACATCATTGGCTTTTCTCTTTTACTTTGCTTTTTAGTTTTATTTTAGGATTCCCTATTTTTAATGCTCATACAGATATTTCTTTAACTGAAATACTGAATAGTTTCTCTGGTGTGAAAAAACTATAATAGTACACAGGATCCTGATGAGATAATTAATAATGTGAAATAGGAAGTAAAGGGCTAAAGGTGTAGGGAAAGTGGGAAGGGTGGGGGAAAGGTAATAAGGGAGAGGAAAAAAATATGAGAAACTGAAAAAATGGAAATAAAGTGTTTGTAAATGGGGAGGGGAGGAGGGGGTGAAGGGAGGGCAGGGACAAGGAGAAAAAATGAGAATCAAGACCTATTATGTAAAGGTACAGAATCCCAATGATGAATGTAATTGTATTGTATACCTAGATTGTACCAATAAACTCAATAAAAAGAAAAAAAATAAAATAAAATCTTTCAATGGGAGGGGAGGCCAAGAGGAAGTAAAACAATTCAGGTGTATGATGTATATGTACCAACTCCCCATGAAGATTGGAATCATTACGCACTGCAAATATGTACTAATAAAAATTTTTCTAATTAAAAGCCAAGAGGTATATGAAATGCATTGACAGGGTCTATAGTTATAAGACTGCTTTACTGATAGTCTTATACAGTAATTCCTTGGACTTATCTTGCTAAGTAATTACCCGCTTTTAATTTTTTTTTCTTTTTTTTTTTTTTTAATGAGACAGGGTCTCATTGTGTAGTTCAGGCTGGTCTTAAACTTGCAGCAATCCTCTTGCCTCAGCCTCCTGAGTCCTGGGATTACAGGACTCCTGAGTCCTGGGATTACATCATGCCCAGCTAATTTTCTTCTTAATGAAAAGAGTTTCTGTTATTTGTGTGATCTGGGGATAATGTGCATGGTTTTTGTTTTTTGTTTTTGCCCTTATGTGGCCAGCTGCTTCTTCTTAGCTTTGGCAACTGAGATCAGTCCTAAAGGAGAAATCAGCTCTGTTGTCAGGGTAGATATTTTACCAAAACTGAGGCAGGAATGGGGGTGATGGGGAGGAGGTGGGCAGTGGCTGGGTCACTCATGGGCAGTGAACAATAAAGCACCAATGAAAACAAGGTAGCCAGGCATGGTGGCGCACACCTGTAATCTCAGCACTTGGGAGGCTGAGGCAGGAGGATCGCTGCAAGTTCGAGACCAGCCTGGGCTACATAATGAGTTCCAGGTCAGTCTCAACTACGTAGTGAGACCCTGTCGCAAAAAAACCAAAAAAAAAAAAAGAACACAAGGAAATTACTCACAGCTCATGTCACAAGGGACAGTGACCCTTACGTGCAAGTCAGGTTCCTGCTCTGGTAATGCCTTCCAGATGATGGCAGCACCTGCCTGACACAGCACAGCAGGGACCATCCCCGCAGCAGGACATTCGTGTTGCAGCGGACCACAGATGCCCCACTGCGGGGTATTTCGGACAGTTCTCTCAGAACCTCACACCTCTGGTCAGCTCTGCCCCAGCAGCAACTGATTCCCAGCACGCTAAGCAGCAGCCTGGTCCACCTCCCACAATCCCCGGCCAGGAAAGGCTTGCAGCTAGGCGGTAAGGACAGATACTTGCTTTCATCCGGGTCTTCCCTGACACTGGACCCAGCTGCTGTACCTGCTTTCTCAAAAGCTGCTACTGTTGGGTCCTCGGGAGCTGCCTGATGCAGAATATCATCTGTGGGAGCAAACAAGAGGCATCAACAAGGCAGCAAGACTGATGGATCCTGTGCCTTGAGTACCCGAGTGGTCCGTGCACAGTGAGCCAGGGACACCGACACTGCTCTGGGTGCCTGGGTTTAGGAAGGGAAAGTGGAGCGATGTAGGGTATCACTGGGTCATGACTGCACCAGATGTCCTTCGCAGGTAACATTGCCCGCCTCTCCTGGAAAGCTTTTCACAATGACAGTGATGATTTTGTGGCCACGTCAAATCCTGATTTTGCTGTTTACTAAAACATGACCTGAAGCAACTAACTTCATCGCTTCAATTTTTGGTTCCCTCACCAGTGGGATGAGGAGGCTATTCTTTAACTCATATCTTTCGTGGAAATTGAATAGAACAGTGTCTGAAAGCATTTAATAGGGTACCAGTGGGAAGGCAAAAATATCATTTCTATCTTTGTTATTAGGATAACCCCCAGATCAGCCGGTAAACATTGCTAGTCCCAGCCTGGAGTCACCCAAAAGGCTTTTTTAAAAAGCTGATGTAGCCAGGCACAGTGGCACACACCTGTAATCCCAGCACTGGAAAGGCATGAGGATCACCGCGAGTTTGGGGCTACACAGTGAGTTCAAGGCCAGGGATGGCTCTTGGAGCAACTTCTCTAGTGGTCCTCGTGCTGGGTTTAGGCTGACAGCCCTGGGGGTGAGTCCAACTCAGCCTCTGGCAGGGGAAATTGTGGAGGAAGCTCTGCAGTCTCAATGAACTCCCTGAAGGTGCCCTGCTTCTGCTACCCCACTGCCTTTTGAGGAACAGGGTTCCAAGCATTCATCTTCCTTTCTGGCCTAATTTCTTGGGACCATGACACTTAGAGGAACTGATCCTAATCTCACAGCAAAGCGCTCACCATTCCCTACAAAGCATCAAGAACAGGGGTCCTGGGAGACTATCAAGACAAGTAATTGTTCAGATACAGCTCAGAGCCACAGTTGGCAACATTTTTGCCACCAGGGACCCCTTTCTAGAAAATCCTTCTTCTGTGGACCAAGGTTGGGTGGGGCTGGGGGTCAGGGTTAAGTTCTCATTGGAGCACACTCTGGGTCCGCGGAATGTAGTTCTGGTAGGACCTGTGATCCTGTGAGAATCTAATACTGCAGCTGTCCTGTCCATGGCAGAGATATCAGTGATGAGGGTGCTGCACTACACATGCAAAGGAGCTTCAATTGCTCCAGTCACTTGCCTGCTTCCTAATAGGCCAAGAAGTGGACCCGAGACGCCAAGCCAGGGACACCAGTTTCACAGTTTCACAGGAGGAGGTTACTTACCTAATATTTTAGCCACACCTTTTTCCATGCTCTTTGTACTGGAGGAAATTATAGAATTTGAACCTGTGGGGGAAATAAATTGAGCTGTGATTAAATCTTCCATTTCCGGCCGGGGTGCAGCGGGTGGGTGTGTAGGGCACTATTCAGCCTGCAGGAGGCCCTGGGTTCACCCCCAGCACCAAAAAACAAAGAGAAGCTTCCTTCTTCCCACAGATCCTCAGCGCAGCGTTCTTTCCTCTCCTTGTTAAATCAAGGACTCTCACCTTTTCACTTCAAGGAAGCATTGTGTGTCTTCTCTCTGGACCTCTGCACTGTTAGCATCACTACTGTCTTGTACTTGGGGGCCGTGATTTAGAGAAAAAGGGAGACTTGCTCATGAGCACTGAGACACCGTGACAAGTGATCCAACACCCAGAATGACTGCGGTATGACTAACGGACAAGTGGCTGGCACAGTACAGACAGGCTGGACACAGCGTCACATCCCATCCCAGGCAGGTCGGGTGGAAATGCTGTCACACTTTGAGACTTGGCTGTTTTGAAACGCGTAGAATTTGGTACATGATGCATTTTGATGCAAAACCTTTGCCCCTGATGTTCATCATTTGGCTTGGTTCCTGACATGCAAGCTGAGCTTACAGAGATCAGCTGCCTCATGACTTCACACTCTTGCCAGCCAAAAGAGTTTGTGCTGGACTCGACATTACTGGTACTTGTATCTCCAGCAGCCAATTAACATATCATGAAATTTCATCCTGCGACTCAGAAGGGCACACAAATTTAAAACTCATAAAGTGTGTGTTTCTGCAACATTCCATTTAATATTTTAAGACCGTGGTTGGCCATGACTTAACTGCAACCATGGTTAAGAAGGGACTGCAGTTTTTATTTGTTTGTTTGTTTGTTTTTGAGACAGGATCTCACTGTGCAGTTCAGGCTGGCCTTGAACTTACTGTTCAGCTGAGGCTGGCCTCAGACTCACAGTGATCCTCCTGCCCCAGCCTCCCAAGGGCTGGTATTACAGGCTTGAGCCACCACATCTGTCTTCTTGAACATTTTTTATAATAAGAAGTTGCAACGGTTATATGTGCTATCCTCACATGGAGCTCTGGATTTTAAGAAAGCTTCTAAGTCAGGGAAAATTTTCAAGTTACTCCCCTCTGCCAAGCAGTACATCCCCAGTGGCAAACTCAGGGAGGTAGAGATGATGGTACGAGGACACCTAAGCTGGCCACTGCAGCCCTGTGGGCAGGGACACCAGCCCTGCCTGACCCAGGCCTCCAGGACCCCCGTTCCTCCAGCTGTTGTGAAGGTACCTTGGATTCGTGAGTGAGGGTAGCGCTCTGCACTGGCCCAATAGTCCAGGAAGAAAACAAAGAGAGTCACAACTCGGCTCATCCTCACCACACCTGGCTGGTCAGCGACAGCCTTGAACCACGGAATATATGGAATCCATGGTCTGTGAGGTCACAGTCAGGCACTGCATTTGTGGACGGGGCAGAGGGGACACTGGTGGCCCTGTAGCTGTCTCTCTACTCTCCTTGAATGTCCTGCGGGACATTAACAGACTCTTAAAACAAATGACCAACACTCAAGCAATGCAGTGTAAGTTTTTTTTTGTTTTTTTTTTTTTTTTTTTTTTGTTTTTTTTTGTACCAGGGATCGAACTCAGGTCCTTGTGCTTGCGAGGCAGGCAGTGGAACCACTGAGCTAAATCCCCAGCCTGCAAAGCAGTGTAAGTGAAATGGAAATACTTAGCATGTGCAGGAAAATCCTAAAATTGATCAAGATGTCACACTAATAAAATGGCATTTATATTGCTGTAGTTCACATTGGAACATCCCTCAAAGGCCCAGGGGTTGAAGATTTGGTTCCCAGCCTGGGGTGAGGTTGGGAGGTTGTAGTACCTTTAAGAGGTGGGGCCTCGTGGAAGATGTGAGGTCACTGGGGGTGTGGCCCTGAGGGGATATTGGGACCCTTCTCCTTTCTGCCTCTTTCCCTTCTTGACCATCATGAGCTCTGCCACACAATAATGAACTGTGCCATCACAGCCCCAAAACCGAGGAAGTGATTGTGAATTGAAACCTCTAAAACTGTGAGCCAAAATAAACCTTTCCTCTTATTAAATTTTGACCTGTTTTTTGAGACAGGGTCTCACTATGTAGCCTAGGCTGGCCCCAAACTCAAGAAGATCCTCCTGCCTCAACCTCCCAAGTGCTGAGATTACAGGAGTGCGCCACCATACCTGGCTCCTCTCCTCTCCACACCTGGGATCAAACTCAGGACCTTGTGCTTTCAAGGCAGGTACAGTGTCAGTGAGCTAAATCCCCAACCCTGTGGCTCCTCTATTAAATTGGTTACCTCAGGTATTTTGTCACAGTGATTGAAAGCTGACTGACACAGGGGTATAAACTATAGCACCACACAGAGCATAAACTCATTGAGAGATTCATGTTTTTCATAGATCATTATTTCCCCTATTGTATTTCATAAGTATTAAACTATTTTCAACAGAATTGACAACCAACAGACTGACCATATTAAAGAAAAGACCAAGGAGGAGAGTTTTACTTCAGGACTGAAGTCATACCCTTCCACAGAGACTTGGAACCTCAGAGATAACCCCATTGAAAAATAGTACTTAGCTGGATGGGCTGGCCTATGCCTATTGTGCCAGCTACTCTGAGAGGCTAAAGCAGGAGGATCAAAGTTTAAGGCACGCCAGCCTGGGCCACTTAGCCAGGCCCAGTCTCAAAATAAAAATTAAAAGGCCTTAGGGTATAGTTTCTTTGTAGAACACTTGCCTAGCTACTCAGGGCACTGGGTTCAATCCCTGGCATTGCAAAAATGAATTAAAACTAAAATATTATTTTTAATTATTATTTTAA